AAGTGCTGGTAAAGAGCTGCTACCAATCACAGATACAACAGCAACACACACTCACATAGTTTCCTGTTTCCTGTGTTTCTTTCCGTTGTTGGTGTGAGTGACAGAAGGTGGAAAGTGACAATAAAAGTAGTACAGTAATAAAAGAGTCTTATGTTCGTCATTACCACAGCCTGAACTATTACAGAGAAAAACCACACATTACCAAAAGTAACAATGGTGAATTCCAGATACGTCATTTACAGGAAAGTGAATAATCTCTCTTCCGTAAGATCTAGTTGATCGTTTACGAGTCTTACGACTAAAGTTTATTTATTTTTGCTGCACATTGTATGTTTATTTCTCGTTTTGTCGCACTTTCTTGTGTTGTCTTTTATTATCTTATAGTAAGGGGGTCACGGTTTAGATTTTAAATCGAAATCGATCGAAATTCATGCTTAATTTTGATTATCGAATACTTACGAATACTATACGAATACTTAGTCATTTTAGCGAACACCTCAGATACTGTTGGCTGGTTCCTGTTGGTTGTGCACCTTTTTTACCGATGCCATTATAATGTCACAGATCACTCCCACAAGATCTAGTTGATCATTTATGAGTGTTACGACTAAAGTTTATTTATTTTTGCAGCACATTGTATGTGTTTATTTCTCGCTTTGTCCCACCTTCTTGTGTTGTAGTTTATTATCTTATAGTACGGGTGTCACGTTTTCGATTTAAAATCTTTGCTCAATTTTGATTATCGAATACTTACGAATACTATACGAATACTTAGTCATTTTAGCGAACACCTCAGATACTGTTGGCTGGTTCCTGTTGGTTGTGCACCTTTTTTTACCGACGCCATTATAACGACACAGATCACTGCTTATTCACGAGTCCCGCAGAAACAGTGATTGACAGGTGGTAATTATGTGTGTATCTTGCCTTTATTCATTGACTGTATGATTTGTTTATGGGTAAAACAAAGACCATGCAGGTCAGGTAGTGTAAACGGTAGGCTACAAATAATTAATTCATTATTATTTAATCAATTATTCATAATCGAAAATCGAATCGAACCGTGACTTTAGAATCGAAAATGTAATCGAATCGAGGATTTGGAGGAACGCGACACCCTTACCAATTAAAGTGTAACTATAATTAAAGTGCTGGTAAAGAGCTGCTACCAATCACAGACACAACAGCAACACACACTCACATAGTTTCCTGTTTCCTGTGTTTCTTTCCGTTGTTGGTGTGAGTGACAGAAGGTGGAAAGTGACAATAAAATTAAAGTAATAAAAGAGTCTTATATTCGTCATTACCACAGCCTGAACTATTACAGAGAAAAACCACACATTACCAAAAATAACAATGGTAAATTCCAGATACCGACGCCATTATAATGACACAGATCACTCCCACAAGATCTAGTTGATCGTTTATGTGTGTTACGACTAAAGTTTATTTATTTTTGCTGCACATTGTATGTGTTTTTTTCTCGCTTTGTCCCACCTTCTTGTGTTGTATTTCATTATCTTATAGTAAGGGTGTCACGGTTTCGATTTTAAATCGAAATCGATCAAAATGTATGCTCAATTTCGATTATCGAATACTTACGAATACTATACGAATACTTAGTCATTTTAGTGAACACCTCAGATACTGTTGGCTGGTTCCTGTTGGTTGTGCACCTTTTTTTACTGACGCCATTATAATGACACAGATCACTCCCACAAGATCTAGTTGATCATTTATGAGTGTTATGACTAAAGTTTATTTATATTTGCTGCACATTGTATGTGTTTTTTTTTTTCACTTTGTCGCACCTTCTTGTGTTGTCTTTTATTATCTTATAGGCTCTCATGTTAATGTGGTCCAGGTTCTGATTGGCTGCTGGATGGGGAGAGCTATAAATCGGAACTTCGGCAGAGTTCGAAGAGCTCATTTTTGGTGCAACTTCTGTGTGTGGAGAGCTCCTGTATTTCCCCACCCCTCCAGTCAACGACCAAACTTTAATGTCAAAAATGGCCACATATGCTTGCAACTTTTTGCGAATTTAGGCTTGTAGGCGTGGCCTGCCAATTTATTTAGGTTATTTTCCACTCTGTTTATACTCAGGGTGAAAGGTAAGCTGCCTGTATTTTTTTTCTTTAAAGATTTACAGGTTATTTAGTTTATTTACTCTGCAGACCTTGTGGGCCAGTGGCCACCCTGAAGAGATGCTCATCAAATTGCTACTTTTACCCACAATAAATTCATTTAATTAGTCCCAACTAATTAAGTGTCAGCGTTTGGTTCTCAATCGAAAGAGGATCTTTTTGCATAACGTTTTTTTTTTTGGTTTTCCTTGGGAAATCAATCACCACAACATTTTGTTTATAATGCCCATGTAGTTGGTTCCCCTGGACATGGGGTGTAATAAGAGGCTTGATAGGGATTTTTTTCTGGTACTTTTATGAAACTTCCTTATTTTGACTACCAGGATTGTCATGATAATGAGAAAAAAAGTCTTATAGCTTTTAGACTTATTTCGTCCGTTCGTTTTCTTTTCAGCTTACTCCCTTTATTAATCTGGGGTTGCCACAGCAGAATGAACCGCCAACTTATCAAGCATTTGTTTTTACGCAGCTGATGCCCTTCCAGCCGCAACACATCTCTGGGAAACACTCATACACACTCATTCACACACACACATACACTACTGACAATTTCCGCTATGTAAAAACATGCTGGAGGTTGGTGGTTCATTCTGCTGTGGGGACCCCTGATAAATAAAGGGACTAAGCAGACAAGAAAATAAATAAATGATGAAATTTATTTTTAATAACCGGTCATTTTAAACACTTTGCTCCACTCTCTGCATTACGCTGCCCGACTGCCTGTATGGGTGTCCTGCACCCTTCCTGTTTTAGTTAAAATATAGGGACAGTACATCTAAAAAATGAAGTCTGTCATAATTTGCACATTCCTCACTTGTTTAAAACGTTTATGAGTTTCTGTCTGCTGTTTAACACAAAAGAAGATATTTTGAAGAATGCTGAGCGATGGCGAAGTTTTATTTTGTTCCAGCAGAGACACTACTGAAATAAACCCTAATCTAAAACAGAAACTTTGGCTTGTTATAAAAGAAGAGCACAGAGAAAATGTGCAGGTCTAATAATTCATACATTCTGCTGTACCTTTTTTGTGTATTTGTATTTATCCATTCTTCTGATTGCTGTTAAAGCCCAATGTGTGTTTTATTCATACTTATATATTTTTTCTCTTATTATATTTTTATTTATGTTTTTATACTAAATACAGTTTTTGATGCAATAATTTATAATTGAACTGTTTGATTCAGAGAGGAAGAAAAACATGTAAATAATTTTGTTTTCTGCTGACAGAGTAGAACAACCGATGTCTTACTGATTCCTTATATTTATATTATTTTATTATTTATTTAAGTCTTACTAATATGCATTAATGAGTTACTTAACTAAAACAGAAACTTTAGCGTGGTCATATATGGCACAAAAACCACATTTAAAATGGTGTTATTAGGACAATATATGTAACTGAGGAGGTCCAGTGTATGATGACAATAACGCTAACGTTTCCACTTTATAATCGACAGTGAAGGAAGAGCTCGTGTGTACGCATGTTACTAAAGTGTGTTGTATTATTTCCTAACGGCAATGTGCTCGTTCACAATACAGACAACAGTATGAAAGCCTCAAGTTTCATAATCGGAAACTGAGGAAAGTTAAACACTAAAGCAAACAGCAAAGCGAATGGATTAATGAAGCAGGCTACATTACCAAACCAAACAATCACACGCAGCGCCATCTGAAGCCGGTGTCCTCCGGTCCTGTCTCGGCTGAAACACACTTTCGTTGAAGAATAAACTGTGAATACGAAACATTATTGAAAAGAGAAAAAAAAGAGACACTGTTGTGTTTAATTGCGGAGAAGTCCGTAAGGATGGTAACTTAATGAGCGTCAGGTGCAGCACACCTCCATGCACACAGTACACCCTCAATAGGGCACAGCGGTACACTACAGCGCCCTCTGCTGGCTTTGATATGAGAGAATGCGTGATCAAAATGTAAATTAACTGGTCTTTTTTATCTGATCTATTCTGTCTTGCTTTGCTTTATTAAAAAGCATATGGTTTAATCTTGTAGTGATAACAGGTCAGAAATTGTGGAGTGGATCTTTGGGTTTCCACAATTTAAAGTATTACAGGCCTTAATTTTCTTCATCTTGACACAATATACATTGATAAAAGTGCTGCAGAAATAAAAATGAATTGATTTGTGTTAAAGCTGGAGGTGATGGTGAGCTTGGAGCAACTGAAGTGTGATGTAGGTGAAAAACAGGAATGATATATTGTATATGTGACAATATCAACGGCAAATCTGCTGAAAAATAAGACTAAAGAATGAAATGGGGAGGATTTTAGAAGATGGTCCAGCAGATGACCCTTTGAACCCTATTTCACGAGAAAATCAAACTATTTTATGTATTAAGTGTCTGATGGTTTATTCCAATATATCACCCTCTGAAGGGCACTTCAGAGTGAAGACAAACATGACACAGTGCTCAAAGCGGGCCACTTCAAAGTGTCATTCAGAATATTTCTAGCTGTATCCGAAATCACCACCTACTGCCTACAGTAGTCTACTAATATAGTCCACTTGAAGGAGTGAATAAAGCGAGTGAGTGAACATGAGCACTACTGAGTGCACTGAAGGGATGCAGTTTGTGTTTTACTCTTTGATAAATCCCTCGGATGGAATATATTTCCATCTTCTCGCTCAAATGCTGTGATAGTTATATATTATATATACAATATAATGAACTTGTGCATCCTCATTTCGCTCGCTGATAAACAGCAACTCTCTCTCACACACACACACACACAAACATACCTGTCTCCTCCAATGGGAGCTGTCTTAAACCTTTAAAAGCACACTACAATATGAAACATTTATTATTATAGACTGCTAAAAGTTAGAATAAATAATACTAAAATACAGAAAAAAAGGAAGATTAAAGCAAAGATCATAAAGGACACAGTGCATCCTAATGAGCTTAAACATAACCAAATACAATACACTTATTTAAAATATAGAGTGAAAACAAATGGTAAGTCCATTAGAAATCAGTAAAGAATCTTGATTACAGACACGCACACAAAGCTCCAATAAAAACTCCTTCAACAGGAGTTCCTCCACTGGACAGCTTTATAAGACTGCTCTCTAGTGGATTACTGCAGTAACAGCATCAGCACACTCAAACACAACAGCTGATCAGGTTCACAGCAATAAGACACTGACTAATGTCTGTCCATCATGATGTGTTTGGTCATGACTGAGATAGTGTCTCTCAGTGCTCAGTAAACACAGCAGTGCTTCAGTTCAGCAGTTTTCAGTTTGTATATGTCTCATTGGGGGTTTGTTTACATGATTCCAGCATTTATTCACGCAAGAGTTTGAGCTGAAGGAGGATATCAACCACATTTCTGAAGAGATCTTGTTTTCTCCCAGCAGAGCCGGATCTGATCAGTCTTTTCCTCTTAGGATGAGTCTGGATCTGCAGCCGGAGACTTCAACCCTGAAACTACAACAGAAGCAGCAGATCACAGACATGATGAAGAGTGAACAAACTGGCATGTGTAGACTGTAGAGTTGCAGGTACATTTTACATCTCAAAGATGAACCTCCTGTTATTTTTCAAAACAAGAGCTTTAATCAAACTCTCCTGAATAATAATGCAAAATATATCAATCGTTTAAACTCAACTTCCTCCGCGATCCTGCTGTCAGATGCTTGATAATAGATCGAGAGCCTGTTCAAATAACATTCCCCAGTGAAATGGCCGGCCATTCACAAACAGCAATTACTCAATTCATATGAACATTGGTGAACAGATTAGCTTAATGGATTGTGAATTAAATTTGTTCAATTTATTATTATTATTATTATTACTATTAAAATCTAATCACAGAAATGGCTAATTACTGTACATCAGGTGCCCAAACTCAGTCCTGAAGGGCCGGTGTCCTGCAAAGTTTAGTTCCAGCCCATATCAGACACACCTGGGCTGGCTATTCGAGCTTGTACAAGGCTTTCTAGAAACATCTGTACAGGTGTGTTGAGGCAAGTTGGAGTTAAATCTGCAGGACACCGGCCCTCCAGAACAGTTTGGGCACTCCTGCTGTACTTAGTTATATTTTGTGAACTTGTTTTTATTTGTAAATGTATTGCTTTTAAATTTACATTAAAAATATAAAGAAATTAAGAAGATAAAATATACTTTAAATGAATATATATACAGTTGAAGTCTGAATTATTCGCCCCCGTTTATTTTTTTCCCTAATTTCTGTTTCACGGAGAGCAGATTTCTTTGAACACATTTCTTTTTAATAACACATTTCTAATCATAACAGTGTTATTAACTCATCTCTAATAACTGATTTATTTTCTCTTTTTTCATGATGACAGTAAACAATATTAGACTAGATATTCTTCAAGACACTTCTATACAGCTTAAAGTGACATTTAAAGGCTTCACTAGGGTAATTAGGGTAACTAGGCAGGTTAGGATAATTAGGCAAGTCATTGTATAACGATGGTTTGTTCTGTAGACAGTCGTAAATATATATAGCTGAAAGAGGCTAATAATATTGACCTTAAAATGGTGTTTAAAAAACTAAAAACTTTTTTTATTCTAGCTGAAATAAACTAAATCAGACTTTCTCCAGAAGAACAAAATATTATCAGACATTCTGTGAACATTTCCTCAATCTGAGAAACATCATTTGGGAAATATTTAAAATGAAAAGAAAAGAAATCAAAGGGGGCGAATAATTCTGACTTCAACTGTATATACAATATTTAAACAGTCTACTTTATATGCTAGGGCTCTAAACCTGGAAGTGCTTAGGGCCCCAAATCACTAAGACCGCCCCTGGTTGCACCATGGTGCAGTCGCTATTTACATGAACAACTTTATAAGAGGAAAAACCGAACACTTCACTAGCAAGAAAACAGGTAAAGAGCATCTGCAGAACTCTTCCATTGGGCCTCTTCCTGTCAACTGTGGATAAAGATAGCGCTGGTGGACACACTCCACTGTATAGCCTATTTCATTTTGTAATTTTGTTTCTTAAGCTTAACTCTGTTTACCATCAGCTCTGTTTACTGTTTATTGGCGTTACTCCCATCATTTAGTGACAGCATCAAGAGTTTCACATTATTACATTTAAGCATTTTTGTACATTAATAAAAGATTAATTTTACTTTAAATATTTGCTGTATGTTATTCCAGTTTAATGACGATTAATGCTTTAAAGTAGCCACAGTTCTGGAATGAGTCGCGATTATTTATTATTAATAAACTTGTGCAAAACAGGAATAACACACAACTTACAGTCGACAAAGCTGCTCTTGCTGGCTCTCCTCCTTCTGATAAGTTTTCCTCCATTCTCTACCTCTAATCCCTCAATCTTCTCCAGCAGATGTATTCTCTGCTCCTCTGATCTTCTCTTGTTATTTATACAGTGATATCTTCTTCCACATTCAGTCAGCAGCTGCTGGAGATCCACGTTGACTTTTTGTTGTAGAAGTTGAGAAACTCTGGCCTCATCCTCATCTTCATGAGTGAACAGGATCATGATGTACTTATGAACTTCAGGACCAAACAGATGTTTAATAAACTCCAGCATCTCCTCTTCATTTTCCAGCTTCTTCACTAAAGGCACGACCAGCAGAACTGAACTGAGACCAGCTGAACATGCAGACAGCTGCTGCTCCTGCAGTTTCTCTTTATCCACATCTGGATCCAGCACAACTGGGCAGTCCAGCACATGAACCCGTCTGTCTCTGATCTGTGTTTGACCCTCACTAAGCTCACACTCCTGCCTTATAAACTTATTTTCTCCCAGTATCTTATTCCTTACTGAGCTTTTCCCAGAACCTTTCCTGCCCACCAGGAGAATCCGCACCACTGCATCAGCTGAAATAGAGATAGAGAATAAGATCATCAGACTCTCATCGCTGACTGAGACAAAGAAAAGAGCAGCTCAAGAAACAGAAATTGTCTGAGTGTCATCTCTTATCATTGACATGCATAGTAGGAAATAAATCCTGTGTTTTGCTGACAGATCATTCAGGATGTTGATGCTTCATCATTGTAAACTTTGTAAAAGGTTCATGACTGAATGAGGAGCACTGGTCGCTATAATGTGGACATTTCCACACCCCTAAACATGATGCAGATCTAAACGAAACGTGATTGGTTGGTTAACCTGTCAGTCACAGATCATCGTGGAAGGTCCTTGATAATTCAAAGTGGTCAGGGTTCCCAGACGATACAGATGGTGAACTTGAAGAAACGTATATGAGAGGAGAATGATCTGTGCAGTTTTCTCATTAATATTTTAATATAGTCTACTGCTTTATTCAGCACTGAACTCACTATACATAGAATACCAGGAGAGAAGTGGATATGCTGCAACTGACAAGTAAATATCCAGATTTCTCAGTCTTATAAAACATGCTTCACATGCATCACCCTGATTTACTAACTGTCATTTCATTAGAGCTATTGGATTCTTGCATGTAATATGCTTAACAGCGTTGTAGAGAGATGCATTTATTAATTATGTAAATAATTCATTCATTCATTTTCCTTTCGGCTTAGTCCCTTTATTAATCTGGGGTCACCACAGTGGAATGAACCGCCAACTTATCCAGCATATGTTTAACCCAGCAGATGCTCTTCCAGCTGAAACCCATCTCTGGGAAACATCCATTCACACACACTCATACACTAAGGACAATTCAGCCTACCCACTTCACCTGTACCGCATGTCTTTGGACTGTGGGGGAAACCGGAGCATCCGGAGAACCGGAGAACATGCAAACTCCACACAGAAACGCCAACTGACCCAGCCGAGCCTCAAACCAGCGACCTTCACTACCTACTGCGCCACTGCTTCTCCTAGGTAAATAATATACTGTCGATTTCTCCTAAATCCATTGTTTATGTCACTAATAATAAGCAAGCAACACATGAAACATTTCTCTGCATAAATCAGTAAACACTTTCCTATTATCAGGACTGATCTCTACATCCAGGAGCAACAGCTGTCCATCAAAATCTCACTAGCCAATCAGAAAAAACCGATGTTAAGTCCCGCCCCCACGAGAATTTGTGCAGGACATTGTAAAACACTTAATGTGAAAACACAGAGCACATCTACACATCAACCAGAGGAACCCATATTTCTGACAAACTTTACTTTTATTAAGTTTAACGTTAAATACTTAACACTAACTATTATTAAAGAGCAATCGCCTGAATTCAAAGTTAAGCGTAAAGCGATCTCCCTTATTGTTGTGGGAGAGGCAATAACATGCAGACAAGAGCATTCTTTTAACAGCAGAAAGTTTATCCTAAATAAAATGAGAGTTCATGAACAGCTTTTTAAAATGTGGTTTCCCCCAGTTGTTGTTTAGTTATGTTAAGCCTTTCATTATTATGAATTTTAATAGGGAGAAACACTTAACGTGATATTGTTCACTTTATCTGTGGTACTATATTCTTCTGATAATAGTTAGTGTTCATCACAGGTAAAGTTTGACAGAAATGTGGGTTTCCTTGTTTGGTGTTAAGGAGTGTTAGGCCACGTTAGGCTGTTTCATTATAATGTACGTGTATGTGGAGAATGCATTAAGTGATGTTGTTTGTAAGTGATGTAAGTGATGCATTAAGAGTTTGTTCTTTAGGCAGCAGAAAGTGTTTATCATGAGGATATTTTTATAGGAATGTAGTTGTCTCCAGTTGTGGTTAATTTAAATCACATTAAGCTGTAATAATTGGGTTCATTGGGGATTACATACTTCAAAAGACATTGTTCACTTTATTACATTATATTCAGCTTTTTCCTTACAATAGACTTTAATGAGGGAGAAAACACTTAATGAAAAGCTTAACACTCAATTGTTTACAGTTGTTACTGTTAATTACAACTAAAGTTTGACAGAAATGTGGGTTTCTCGGTTAATGTTTAGGTCATAAAGCCACGACAGGCTTTATGAAGTGCTTTCTCATGTTAAGTGTATTAATATGTCCCAGAATAGTGAATGTAAATGTGCAAAGCGCAGAGAAATTCTCGCAAAAAGCAGATAAAAGCACTGGCAGCGCATTCACAACTGTGTTACTGAAGCTGAAGTGAAGTGAATGCAGTTTATTTGAAGGCAATGTGACTTTTTTGCTATTTAGCTGTTTGCTTTTTATTCTCACTGAGAAGTTGGTTTAATATTAAAAAATTCAGATTTTCTCCTTAATTTTATTTAACAAGGATATCATATTTGCACCAAGGTTCACAGTCAATTAAACAGTGCTGATGTTGTTTTCAAGTCTTTCTTGCATGCAATTTCAGACCCAATATTCACATTAGCAAAAGTTAAATTAACAAATGTGCGCATAAAAACAACTTTACATTAATACATCAATGTTGGTTTCACAGAAAGTGTTTTATTTTGGTTATTTGTCAGTAATCTAATCCTATAGTCAAACATTATGTGTGCTTTTAGTGTCGGCCTGAAACATCATGTCTGTGATTTATTTCCACTTTTAATTTGGTGAAAACACAATTTAAAAAAAAAATGTTTTCATTGAAAAATCAGAGAAGAGGATAAAACAGCAACAGCTCAGAGTATAAATGTCCTCTTAGGAAGAGGAAAAATCACCTTACATGTCTAATAAGAAACATTTGTTCAGACGCAGACAGGTTCTTACCTGTAGATGATGATGAAGCTCCCTCCGCCATCTTTAATGAATGACACTCCTCCAAACACACGGTTTAATACATCAATTTAATGCTTTACACAAAACAAAAAGGGCACATTAAATAAACAAACTGAAGCAGACCCGAAGAGCCGCTGTCCAGTTAAGCTGCTTTCACTTTTGCTTTCTTCTTCTTCGTTTACTGGCCGTTCTCTTCTTAGGAGCATTACCGCCGCCTACTGTATTTATTATACACTTGCGTGATGGTGATCTGTTTTGTCCGTGTAGCTTGATGAAGGAAAAACAACAACCGGGAAGTTTTTTGTTTTGTTTTGCTACCGAGAAATTTCGCCGCTACAGCTAAAACAACAAGAGGCTTGATGACGCAATGAAGGAGAGTGGAATTATGGGAGGTGTAGTTCTCGCAAATTTATAATGCTTGATAAAATGCATCAGTTAGGTACAAACTTGATGTGATTTCATCAACATAACCCGCACAGTTATATACAATTATAAATATAGATGTTACAACCTCTTTGATGTTAGTCTAGGGTGAAAGTAATAACATTTAAGAGGTGTGGTACCTTTACAAGATGATGGGTGAAAACAAAAGACACAATCAACAAAACTGCCAACAAAAGTGATTTAATGTACAAAAAAAATCATAATAATGCCTAAATATATATACACTCAGAAAAATATTTACAATAATAAAGTAACAAATTAAACAAATTATCAAACGAAATTAGGTCAACTCAAGAGTAAGGGGACGCCAGTGAAGCCAAATCAAAGAAATAAATATAACAAAACAATTCTAACTCATAAGCGAAACCCTTACCTCACTAGAACATGAAAAGAAAAAGAAAAGAAAAATCTTCAGCGCCGAGCGCCGTAAACTTACCTATTCTTAACTAAAAACAAAACAAATACATAAGTGGCATTCACTTTCTTACCTGGGGCCTCATGTACGAAGACTTGCGTGGAAATCTTACTAAAACATTGCGTACGCACAAAGCTGTAAATGTGCGTACGCGGAAAAAAATTCAGATGTATGAAACACTGTGTACACCGAATCCCACGCATATTCTTTTGTACATCCGAATGAACGTGAAACTGAGCGCAACATGCACGAGCACAAAACCCCTCCCTGCCTCCTCCCCCGTATGAATATGCTAATGACTATGCTAATGGCAAAACCCAACGAAAAAGCAACGGCAAAAGCAAGCAAGAAGAGAAACTTTGAACAGAATGTGAATTGGAGGTGCTGCTTTCGGAGGTAGACCGGAGAAAAGTGGTGTTATTTGCAAGTTTGTTCTCCGGAATTAACAACAAAAGAAAAAAATAGAGTGGGAGAGTTTAGCTGATACGGTTAACACAGTTGGGTCTGAACATCGCACTGAGTGCATTTACATAAGAAATAGTGTGGTTTATATCTGTAAACTGTTGCAGTATGCTTAACAGTCTCAGTGGCGCAGCTCATAAGACGATTGTGATCATGTTTTGACACGTTCGAGCATGAACTCGGCTCGAATCCAGCGTCTGATGAACTCAAAAGTAGGAATCATTAATAAGTTTGTGCATCATATTTTATTTGCACATTTATTGAATGGAAATGTTTCTGATTCATGCAAATTCATCTTCAGATAGTGTCTTTATAGCAATGTGCGTGCAGTAGATCGCTCAGATTACATTGGGAAAACAGGCGACTGCTGCAAATTGTGCTTTAATGTTTGGCTGGTCAACTGTATGGTATGGAAACCTTATATACCTGCTAGATGAACCCGTCTCATACAGCTGCCATTGCAAGGCTCAGACACTTTGTAGAGAGGAATTTAACACAACTGCCTCTAGGAGTCGCCAATGGAAAAAACAGACACGCACAAAAAATGTGCGTACGCCAGCCAGAAAGCTGCCGTGAAGCTGTGCACATTCCCACGTTCAGTTCATTGTTAAAAAATCCAAACGTGAGCGATTCTGAGCGTAAAACCTGGCGTACGCAAAGTTTTTGTGCGTACGCAGCGTTGATACATGAGGCCCCTGGTGTTTTAAACAATGGATTGACTACGTGTATGTAAGATGGAAGTCGTACGACATCTTCCCTGTCCGCCTTACTCTGAGGACAAAGTCAACTCTCAATGATCTGTTTTAGGTTTGAGCAGGTAAGAGTTGTGCCAAAGTAACAAACAAACAATCAAATATAAATGTACAGAAATCACAATCTCGTTCAAAAATGGGCAGAAAATATACTAAATAATTTTATCCAAACGAAAGTTAAGCAAATTTAACGAATAACAAAATCATGTCGGTAAAAATACACAAAAACGGGATCAAAGGAAAAGCGTGCTGTCATCCGCTCTCCCTGGCGTCCTTATATGTGACAGCGCCACGTCACCCAATGATGAGTGACTAGTCTCCTGACCAATCAGATTCCGCGAAGGCGGACCTAAAGGATATGACAGGTAGAGATGGGGAGAGAGAAAGAGAGGGAGATAGAAAAAGAGAGAGAACGAGACGCAAAAAATCCACCAATATACGACAACCGTTACATAGATTTTTTCAAGTGAAAAGGTTTTCTTTTTATTTAGTTTTTTTTTAATTATTATTGACGTATGAATTTGTTGCACCAAGAGGTTAAAATAGACTTAAATGAAAACCAGCTTTGCAAACTCATCATTTTATTTATGTATTAATGTTTATTCATTCATTTTCTTGTCGGCTTAGTCTCTTTATTAATCCGGGGTCGCCACAGCGGAATGAACCGCCAACTTATCCAGCACATTTTTACACAGCGGATGCCCTTCCAGCTGCAACCCATCTCTGGAAAACATCCACACACACTCATTCACACACACTCATACACTACGGACAATTTAGCCTACCCAATTCACCTGTGCCGCATGTCTTTGAACTGTGGGAGTATGTATTAATGTATTATTATTTAAAAATCATTACCCCCAAAAAATATTTAATATCTTAGAAACAAAAACTTTTAACTTTTTCAATGATCTCATTTAATTATTCTTATTTTTAATAGTGTATTTAATTTTATGACTCATTAAAAATACCACAACTTTTATGGGGTTTAATTACATGTGTTAAGTATATAATAAGTTTCCCAGAACGATTATCAGTTTAATCAGTGTAAATCACAGCCCTTTCAGCTGAATTGAGCGCAGTGATCAACAGAAGATCATGCTGTTTTTATTAAAGACTAAACTGATAAAATAGACAAACTTTGAGCTGGTTTTGTCTCCGTATATAACAGACGACGTATATCAGCTGATCATAATTAATCAAGCAACACAGACTGTAAATAAACACCCGATAGCTGATTTGGATAAATGCAGATCAGCAGGAGCCTAAAACTGCATCTTTAGACATTCAGACATAAACATATGTTTAAAGACATCTTTGTGATGTACGAGTGCTATCAGGGTATAATTGTAAAATGAAAAAAAAAAAAGTTAAATGGACAAATGCAAGCATTATTTGAGAGACTTTTAATAATAATGAAATGATAATGTCCTAATGATCTGGAAAAAAAATAGCCGAACAGCAACAGTTTACAAGCATAAAAAAAACTATAAATGATTATGAAAATAGTGATCATGTGTCATAAATGTCAAGTGCACATATCGGCAGATTTATATGTGGTTTAACACACTTGATCATCTTTTATGTATCAGGTTTTGCTGCTTTTTTAGGTTGGACTCATGCAGTCCAGACCACTCACAGGTCTTATCACACACACGCATGCACGCACGCACGCACACACACACACACACACACACACACACACACACACACACACACACACACACACACACACACACACTCCAAAAAAAAAAAAATCTGAGCTACAAATTGAGCTAACGATCACATATCAAACACATAATGCATCATAACATTGTCGAGTGAGAAATAAAATCTTGACATCCTCTTATCTCATTTTACATAAAAATGACTAATGACTAAATTAATTCATTAAATGACACATTAAATGATAAACAAACAAATCAAAATGGCATGAATGATGATTATACATGATCATATGATTAACTGAAATGAACAATAAATGAAGCACAAGTGAATATTGAAGATAAAACACAACAGAAGTGAACGGTTGCCCTCCAAGGACTCAACACACACTAGTAAGAGTCCTCAAATAAATCACTAGACAGGTAGCCAACATATAATTAACATGATCAAACAGGTATTAATATTCTGGTGAAAGTCAAGACTGAGAGTTTGAACAATCTTGCTCTCATTATCGCAATAGCATGCTGTTTGATCTAGAATAAGAGACTGCAATCGATATATTGGCTATATTCGAATGTATTTGAGGGAAAAGCTATTTCTAGTGTTGTCCAAACCAAAGTGGACAAACCAATGCACCACAGTAACAAGTGTACAAGCCATGTATTCTTAACGGCTAAAAAAAGACCCAGAATGCACTTTGAGAGTTCACTAGCCAAATTAATTTCTGTGTCTGGCCACAAAATAGCTTCAGCAGTGGAATTGTATTGATGTAAGTTTTAAAATCAAATACTATTTAGCTTAAGTAATGTACTGTATGCATATATGACTGAAATCTAAAGCTTTGTTTTATTACTTATACAGCTGAGTGTGAAATGACTATCACAGGGATCCACTTTATATTGTATCTCTGGGTATTGCTGATGAGAAAGATAATTTATTTCTACTTTATTTATTTTGGAAAAGTTTTAATGTTCTTAATTTTCAATAAATAATTTTGATAATTCTCTCCATAAAGCTTTCATTTAAAATTAAAGTGCATTCTCCATCTAAGCTTTTAATTGCATCTTCTTTTGTACATTTTCGCCAACTTGCTGGAATCTTTCCTTTCCTCTCAAATGTTTTACCATAATATTTCTCCAGATCTCTCTGGAATCTGCACACAAACCACTTCCAGTAGGGCAATTCAGAGAGATCAGGGGTGATGCTCCAGTCTGCAAAAACTCCTCCTGCTGATCTGTAGTCTTTATATAATAATTCAGAGGAGTCAGATTTAAGTGTTACATGTTTACTTGCTACAGCTGATGTGCAGATTTGAATAGCCAAATTTGTTGTTTTCCAGTAACTTATTCCATTTAGTCCATTTACTCGATGGAAATCAACACTGTGGTCTCCATCATGGTCCTCTATGGTGTTTGTGCAGGTGGCTCTACAGAACGGGCACTGAACCCAACAGCACCAACAGAACTGATCAATCAGAAGCTCATCTGGTCTGTCGTTGTAGTCCAGCTTCAACAGAAAGTCATTGATGTGTTTGCTTTTATCAGATGTAATTGCAGGAAGCTCTCGTTTTATCACTTCTTCTAGGAGTTTGCAATCATCAACATCATCATGTTTGACTCCACTGAGGTCTTTTTCAGAGAAGATCAGCTGATCTGAGAGCTGCTCTGAGAAACTCTTCAACCACAAACCAACATCTCCACTGTTAGCTTGAACATGTTCAGTAGATGCATGAGCTGCGTTCAGGATCTTCTGCTGCAGGAGTTCAGTGTTCTCCTTCATCTTGGGTAAAACACTGGCATTGAACTGATCACTGATGAACCGACTGACCTCATCTCTGATGAAATACTTCACGTGATCTTTAGGATGATGAATGTAGTCCATGTATTTGTCAAAGTCCTCCTCTTCTGCCAGAGTCTTCAGGATGTGTTTCTCCAGATTTGATCTGTTTCCCTTCAGTGATTCACAGTTTTTCAAGATCTCATCTGCTAAAACTCTGGCAGTTTCCTTGCAGACGCTCTGCTCAATGGGCTCTTTCAGTTTCTGACAGATGATCTCTCCAAAAATGGCAGCAGAAGTAGCTCCACGACAGTATTTCTGGAAAATACTATAGTATTCCTCTCTCTTCTTCTCCAAATAGAGAAGAGGATCATTGGCTTTTCTGAACAGTTTGTGTTGGTCATTGATCATCTTCTCTGATCTTTTAAATATGGAATAAACCAAATCAATGAAGAATTCATTCCTAAACACATATCTCACAGTTTTTTTCTCATGTTCTGTCACTCTTGTCTTGATGTAGTCTGTGAGTTGTTGAATGCAGCTGATGTTGAAGCCCATCTTTGAAATGTTTAATGCCTGAATCATTGTGTCTGTCTGCTGAGCAACATCTCTGACAAATGATCTTATTTCCTTGTCTCTGAAGTGACTGTAATCAAGCAACCCTTTAGCCATTCTTAAAGCTCCTGTAAACACATTGGATTTCTTAAATTGTATATAATCTGAATAATCTGTCACAGTGAAAATATTCTTGTCCCCCCTCCAGTGATCTACAGGAGCACTTTCACAGATGTCCCCGAGGATCTGTCTCACGTCTCTCATTATGTCAATGTTTTGGATTGGGTTAGTGTCTTTAGTGATTTCCTTCATCGACTGATTCCAGAGCAAATCAAACTCTTTCTTCAGCGTCTCTTCATCAGTTGTGTTGTCTTTGAGTTTCAAGGCCAGCTCTTTGCTCTTTTCATAGAGAGTGTTTTCATGATGTTTCCTCTGATCATCAATCTTCTTCTTCAACTTTCGCTGCTGCAGAATCTCATTTAGTTTCCTCTTTGTTTCCTTCACAATTTTTTCCTGAAGTTCTTTGATTTTGATGTCAAATGATGTTTTCCACTGAATCAGAATGTTTGCATCTGGATCTTTCTCAAAAAACTCTGACATAAGGTTTTCCACTTCTTCGCTAGTCTTCTTCAGTTCTCTCTGTAGATCAGGTTCTTCAACTTCATGGATTGCTTCATTTTCTATTTGGTTGTGCATTTTGTTCTTTATTTCCATCATAGCTCTGCGGAGACTCCAGGACCACTTGCTGTATTCAGTCTCCAGTTTCCTGTAGACTAAAATCTCTGGATCATTTCTGAAGCTGGGGACAAGCTGTTCATTCAGTAGTGCCTCCCAGAGATCTTTAATACTGTCCTTTATATGTGCCAGTTTTGTTCCAACTGACTTTGATGCATGAGACATGATAGTTTTCTTCAGGTCTTGAATATTCTGACAGTAGTTTGGATTTGGTGGGGCCATGGGTGGGTTGCCATCCCAGAGATGAGGAAAATACTTCACATCATTCTCTATATCAAATTTAATGACATCACTGAACCGTTCAGCATAACAGACTTCCTCTTTAGTGATGAGTTTTGTCATCTCATCCAGCGTCTCCTGCAATATTCTTCTTCCCTCCTCATTTTTCTCCTCAGCTGTGACGTCTGAAACATTCTGATGCACAAACACACATCTGGGGTTTAGACTGACCTTCTTCATCCTCAGGAAGGCCTGAACAACAATCTGAAGAATTTCCTGCATCTCAGATGGGTTTTCTCCAAAGATGTTGATCAGGGTCATACTACCAAGCCCAACAACAAATGTGGCCAGTTCATTGTCATGATGTCTTGATTTGCCACCCAGTTCTAGAGCACAGAGACCCTCAGTATCAACAACCAGAATATAGTCAACGTTCATCTGTGTTTTCATCTCGTCTGACACTTTGACCAGCTGCATGAAAGCTCCTCTGGTGCACCTGCCTGCACTGACGGGAAACTGGAGTCCAAACATGGCGTTCAGCATGGTGGATTTCCCAGAGCTCTGAATCCCTAAAACAGACAACACAAAGACTCTGGTCTGGTCTCCCAGTTTCTGGACGAGTTGATCAAGAACAGCAGAGATCCAGAGCAGAGGAACATGAGCAGCATCTCCATCCATCAGCTCCAGTGGAAACCCAGAGATCATCATCTCTGCTGCGAGACTCGGGAGAGAAGAGAAGTGAACCGGCAGATCTTTCTTGTTCTCCTTCACAGATGAACATGATTCATAGATCTGAGCGATCTCCCTCATGATGTGCTCCAGACCAAACACTGCAGCTTCAAATTCAGCTTGTTTTTTAACCTTTTGTTGTTCAGATTGGTCTTCTTTTTCTTGCAGTTTTAGTTTTAGACTAATATCTAAATTGAACTCATCAAGGACAATTCCAAGCCATTTAAGGAAATAGATCTTGTTTGCAGCATCTGAGTTTATTTCTTTAATAAAGATCTTCATAAACTCACTCAAGTCCGCCTTATGCTGTAGTTCACGGATGTTGTCCATTTCTGTTTGTTTCTGACTGATTTCCATTTCTATCTCATGTGTTTGGGGTCGATGAAGCTCTTTGTTCTTCTGACTCCACTGATGCCACAGTTTCCCCTGATGAGGCAGAAATGATTCTTTAATCTCTGTCAGATCTTTCTTCTCCAGTAAACTGATCATCTGCTGTGCTGCTGCTCTTCCTCTCCTGCAGTCTTCATCATCTTCCTCATCCACTCTGATGTCTGAGTGTTTGGACAGATCTTCAAGACTGAAAGTGGAAGATGATTCTGCGAGACAATCCCTTATAGCTCCTCTGAGTTCTTCAGACACATGTGATTGATTCCTGTCCTTCAGGCCAATTTTGAATTTCCCTTTCTTGACCTGGTGTACTGTAGATTTATCCTCGGTAAAGAGGCAAATCAGTGGCTTTGAGTTTCTGTACAGGTTTTGTATCTTTTCAGCATGTTTGTCCAGTCGTGGCAGAAGAACCACATTGACTGAGGTCATTTCAGTGAGGATCTTCCACTGTTTCTCATGATCTCCTGCATCTCCATGTAGATTACAGAAGGCCACACAGTCAGTGAATTGATCCTCATTTGTGTCAGAAGGGCAGAACCAGGCGATCTCCACCACTCCGTCCATCAGGACTCTGGATCTGCTGCTGCCTGGACAGTTCCTGTGGAAGAACGTGTTGTGTTTCTCATTGATCAGACTGTTCATCAGCTGTGACTTTGATAAAGGCACAGAGTCAAACCTGAAGAAGAACACCATTGGAGCCTGTACCTTCCAGATCGGCAGGGTTTGACTGATGGTTTCATTGTTGGTGTTTCTGATCTTCCAGCTCTTGGTGATTTGTCTGAATGTCCAGAGGGGAAACTCAATCTGTTGTGTTTCTGGATCAGGAACAAGCAGAGGCAGAGCGAACTGACACTGGGAGAGTTTAGTGACCATCAGCTGCTTCAGGAAACCATCAGCACAATGAAACACAGCCATCTGAACATCCATTGGGTGGACTCGCTCCTGAATTGCTGGTTCATTAGATAAAGACACTTTGATTATATCACCCTCATCTTCATCTGAGTTTTTAGAAGTTTGTTCTGCGTTATTCTGTTGATTAATCTCTTTAACATGAATGTATCTTGCTCTGTAGTTCATCATCAGGAGTCTTTGCATGAAAGTTTGAATCAGCTCCTCTTCTTTAGTGCAAGACTTGTGAAATTGTAAGGATTGTTTGGTTATCTGTAGAACATCTGCAGCTGTCAGCTTAAGTTTCTCATCAAGATGAAGTCTGTGAAACAGATGATGTTTTCTTGTTCTCACTTCTGCTGTTTCAGTGCATTCCTGTTTTACCTGTTAAAACACAATGAAACAATGACCCAGAACACTTGTTTTATTAATATGAATTGCAATAGTGTGTTTTACTTTGTGTTTTCAATGCAGATTTAAACAACTGTCATGTCTTCTGTTCTTTCTCACATTTTAAATATGAGAAACAGAAATTGCACTGACAAAATGTATAAAAACAGCAGATTTTATGCCAGACCACTAGTTTATTTCAGCAAGACTGTATGCACAAAGGATTTAATTTGATCAGAAAGTTACTGACTTTCTAAAGATGATGCTACACTAGGGCTGAATAAAGTAGTTTCAGATGCTGCTAAAATGTCATCAATGAACATGAATCTGTTTTTTCCAGGTGTTTCTAAACACTGACCTGTGGTGAACCTGTGTCAGAGCTGATTTCCATCTTCTCTTCTTTCTCTTTTTCATATTCCTCTCTCCAAGCCATGTGTTTTCTCTTCAGTTGATCTTCATGCTGTTCTTCAAGGATTTTCAGTGTTTCTTCATGAGTCTTTTGTTGATCTTCTCTCATGTTTCTTTCTTCTTTCAGTCTCTTCTCTAAATCCTCGAGTTGTTCTGCTTTTTCTCTTTCTGTTCTCTCTTTCTCTCTGATTAATTCCTCCATTTCACTCCTGAGTCTCTGAATCTGATCATCTAAAATCTCCTTTTCTCTCTGTCTTCTTTCCTCTTCTTCTTCTTGTCTTTGTTTGTCCTCTTGTGTCTGTTTCTCCCACTGCTCTCGTTCTCTCTTCATCTGCTCACGCGTCTCCCTCTCTCGCTGCTCTTTCTGTTGTATTTGTGTTTTATATTGCTCTTCTCTTTCTGTATATTCATTTCTTCTCTTCCTTTCATGGTCTAAACTATTCATCAGTCTGGCTATTTCTGTGTCATGTTTCATCTGAAGTGTTTCATGATCTGTTTTTATTTTCTGTTTTTCTTTTCTAATTTCCTCTATTTCATGTTTACATTTCTCTATATCTTTCTTTGTCTCTCGTCTATCTTCTTCTTTTTCTCTTATTAGTGTCTTATATTGTTCTTCTCTTTCTCTGTATTCATCTTCTCTTTTCTTCCTCCTATTCATCAGCTTTTCTATTTCTCTATCATGTTCTTTTTTAAGGTCGTCTTTTTCGGTTTTGATTTTCTCTTTTTCTCTCCTCATTTCCTCTGCTTCATGTCTAAAGTCTCTCTCTTTCTCTTTAATTTGTGTTTTGTATTGCTCTTTTTCTATACATTCATCTTCTCTGTTCTTCCTCTCAATCTCTATTCTGTTCATCAGTCTTTCTATTTCTGTCTCGTATTCAGTTTTCATCTTCTCTTTGTCTTTCTTCATGTCCTCTATTTCATGTCTAAATGTCTCTCGTTCTCTCTTCATCTCGTCTCGTGTCTCTCTCTGATGTTTCTCTTGCTCTCGTATTTCTTGTTTCAGTTCTTCTTGTCTCTTTCTCTCTTTGTCTCGATTCAGACTCTCTTCCTCAATTATGGTCTTCAGTCTTCTCTTCTCTTCATCGAGATTCTTCATCAGCTCTTCTCTCTCTCTGTTTAATTCCTCCATCATCCTCTTCATTTTGTTTTCTTCTTCTTTATATGTAGACTGAAGTTTTTCTGTCTCTCTTTCCATTCTCTCTCTCTCTTGTTTCAGTTTCTCAGATCCCTCTTTATTAATCTTTTCCTGGACTTCTCTCTCCATCTCTGTTAATTGTGCTTTGTATTGTTGTTCTCTCACTTTAAACTCTTCTTCTCTTCTCTTACGGTAATCGTCATGATTCTGTCTTTCATTCTCTATGCTATTCTTTAGTAGATCAGTTTCTTTTTCATATTTACACTGAAGCTTCTCTTTGTCTTTCCTCATTTCATCTATTTCATGTCTAAATGTCTCTCGGTCTTTCTTCATCTCCTCTCTCATCTCTCGCTGATGTTTCTCTTGTTCTCTTATTTCTCTCTTCAGTTCTTCTTCTCTCCTCTTTCTATCTTTCTCCTGATTCTGTCGTTCTTCCTCTATCATTCTGTCTTTCTCTTCCTCTAGTTTCTTCATCTCTTCTTCTGTTTCTCTGACTCTGTCCATCAGGATCTTCATCTGTTGTTCTTGTTTTTCTCTCTCCATCTCTCTGAACATCTTGCATGAGTAGAAGCTTCCTCCGTTTGCCTTCACCATGTTGTCTATCTTCTCCAGTAGATCAGACACTTGTGTTCGCTCTTCAGGCTGATTATTGTTGAATACATGAAATCTGTGTCCACAAGCTTCAATCAGGTTCATCAGAGAAGGTCCAGCTTTCTCCAGACACTGATGGATGGTTTTGTTTCCCAGAACGTCTCCTCTGGTGAAGAGCACCATGGTGAACATTAGAGAGTTTTCCCCAAACGTCTCCTGGATGATCTTCACTGATGTTTCCTCCTCTTTAGTGAATCGCCCCAGTGGAATCAGCAGGAGAAACACATGTGGTCCAGGCAGAATCATGGAGATGCAGTGTCTGATTTCTCTCTGGATCTCCTCATTAGTGAGTTCAGTATCAAACAATCCTGGAGTGTCAATCACAGTGATGCTCCTGCCATTGATTTCACTTGTTTCTCTTTGACTCTCTTTAGTCACTGACTCAAAAGATGCTTCTGACTTAAAAGCCGTTCTTCCTAAGATGGTGTTTCCCGTAGCACTTTTTCCAATGCCAGTTTTTCCCAGCAGAACAATCCTCATTTCATCATCTCTGTTTTCTCTTGAACCTGGAATTTAATGGAAAAAAAGAAACTTAGTGACTAGGGATGTAACGGTATCAGAATTTCACAGTACGGTAATACCTCGGTATGAATGTCACGGTACGGTATTTATTGAATCATTTACAGGAAAAACAAAACTTTTGAAAATACTCCAAAAAAGTGCCAAAAGTGCCAATGACATACAAATTAGTCATCTATCTGTAAGCTTTAAAACAGGAACTTCAATTTTAATAACAAAAAAATATTAAACCATGTAAAAAAATAAAGTTTCAATTTAGTATTGTTGAACTCATCACATTCAACATTTAATCACTCACTCACTTAGATAGAGATGGGTTTAAAGGAAAATTATCATATAAATATAATCTGGTAAAAGCTGGTATCTCTGGGCATTTACAATGTCCCCTGCAACAGAAAAAACCCTCTCATTTGGGACTGAGGTTTCTGGGACAGAGATATGACTTGGCCCATGTTGACAGCAGTGGGTAACGTTGTGCATTGTCTTTCCCCCACTTGAGAAGACAAACCATGAGTGAGATAGAGATCTCTTTGCGGTACAAGTCAATGTCTGCATCAATCTGAACAGTGTGCTGTGTTTCTGCAGTCCCCATGACTGATTATTAGTCGTATTCCCCAACTTGCAGGCACGTGCACACATAGGGCTTTTTAGTCTTGGATAGAAAATGCCCTTCCAAATCGATCAAAAGTGCCCCCGCGACGCGACACAACCTCCGTCCAGCCCTTCAGTAGGCGCGCGATAACACCTCTCTTGAGTATGCGCGCTCAACCCCCCCTCGGCGCTTTACAATACGTGCGCGACAACACAGCTGATCAGAACGCGCGCGACAGCACCGCTATTCAGCACGCGCGCGGCGACAACACCCGCTTTAGGTTCGATCATTTCCATCTTTTTTTCATCTCCGCTACTAGCAGCACACTCCATTTCCGCATTACTGGATCTGTAGCGACAACAGACCGCAAAGGATTATGGCCACGCCTGGGCTGATGGGAATTGTAGTTTCAGCTACCTCCCGTTCGCTTCATTCGCCTGAGCAAATTTTCTCAGAAGACCTATAGTTTTACAGAGTCATGCGACTTCGGTAATATCGAAAAAAATTAATATTGCGGTATGACGGTATTTACAATACCGTTACATCCCTATTAGTGACGGAATTGCCCATATGACAAGCTGAAATTGATACTGATATTAGCAGTTTATCCATACAAATAATAGTTTGCAAATAATATGTAATATATTTGAACATTTCCACTCTCAGAAATACCCATACTCTCACTTGGGGAGTGCCTCTTCAGTGGTTTACATTGGCACCTAAAGAACCATACTGCGCTTTGAAGATTAGTACCTAAAAATACAAAATTGTCTGTAAACATCCAACATCCCTTAAAGCCAGTATTTACCAAATTTGGGAATTTTGAACAAATTTATAGATTATGACTCATCTGGCTATAATATAGGGATGGTGTAGTAAAAATGAGGCATGCATCTCCAGGTGCCAGGTCCAGGTGATAGTCTTGGGTCCAATTTAACCTGAAGAAATGATAACACCACACTGGCTGGCAAGTTTGAGGGTCTCTGAATGCATAAGCATTACTTTTTGATAGAGCTTTACCCAGAGTAATGCACTTAACTATTGCTGAAGGTAGGCCAGTTAAGTCTGCTATGTACAATCCAAAAGCAACATATCAAGGTTTTAGAGGTCTGGGCATGGTTGCCCTAACCCTGAAAATGAAGATCCTTTCCCAGGGGAGTTCACCATGGGCTGTAGCAACGAGAACAATTTCTTGAATCACAGTCTGTATGGGCCAGTGCTACACAACCAGTGAGACTTGCTCCTCATCCTCCCAACCTACACATCTGTACAAGGAGGGTAACTTGGGGGATTGCATATCTGACTAAACTTTGGGGTAAGCTAATAAATGTTGGCATATACCCCCTGGTGGTTGATGTACGCTTCTGTTGCTGTGATGTCTGTCCTGACCAACATTTTCCAATGCAAAGATGAGGGAGTGCACCATGTCCATCTCTGTACTCAGTCGTGCAGTATCGTATGAAGCAATCTGAGCAGTGTGGCTCTGGATTCTATATGATCCTGGAGCCTCTAAAAAGGTTTTAGTGGGACCATGTAGCGACTGAAAATGGTTGTGTCAACGAAGAGTTGAGAAATTAAGTATCTATCCTTCAAAATTGCAAACCAATTCTGGGGACAGGCATTTGAGAATGTGTTTCTGCGTTAACATTTGGAATAGCATCCTGTGAAAGGAGCGATTCAAAATGCACAGATCCAGGATTGGATGTAATTCACTGCTCAATTTGGAGATGATTAAGAATTAGCTGAATTAGTTTTTCTAAAGGCTTGTTCACTCAAAACTGAAAATTCTTTCTGTCATTAATTACAAACACTCCCGTAGTTCCAATCTTCAGAACACACATTTAAATATTTTAAAATATATGACACAGCAATTAAATTCTGAAAATTTGTGGGGATAAAGCTATCCTATAGTCCAGAGATCCGGTCACAGCGCGTCCGCGTCAGGTCAGGTGCGCCCGTAAATAAAACGCGCACACGGCGATGGAGACGCACTCAACTCACAAGGGAGAAAAGTGTGTGACATGATACGAGCAGCTTAATTCATTACATGTTTTGGTTAACTAATTCTTTAAACACAACTCTCTTGAGCTCTAAAAGGAAGAAACGCAGAAGAAATGTGCTGTTAAATTAATTTTAGCAGAGACGCAACTGCCAGTCATTTTCACATTAGTTATTCGGGAAGATGTAGCCTAATAAAAATGTTTAAATAAAAATAAATAGTTCACTGCACAGACCCACAGTAGGCTACACTAATATAGCCTAATATTAATAATAATATTATTATTAATTAATAATATTAAAATTAATAAATTAAAAAATTATTATTATTACAATTAAGCTAAAATTGACAAAACGCAGAACCCTTTGAATGTTTGCTTTCATTTTGACATTGCTAAAAAGTGCACTTTTACAGTTGTGTAGAGAAACATCCCATAATGCAACAGCACTCAGAGTATAACACTTAAGAAATGCCTTTTGGGTTTAAAGATGATCGGCCTGCGAAGTCAAGTTTGCAGTGTTATAAATGGAATATATTGCTTAGTGGATTTACCGCGGATCAACCGAGAAACCTTTTACATGCTGCAGGTAGGCTCAATGATAATCTTTTAAAAATATGTAATTTAGGCTATACTGCTATTTGCTCATGCAAAATTAAACAACATAAATATATTGTAAACCTATTTTAAGAGCTAAAATACAGTCAGCATATCAAGTTTGTTTTGACTTGTACTCATGGCCCTAAAATGAAAATAACCTGAAAATAAGTTATTAAAATAGTCTTAATAAATAAATAAAATGACGGGTAGGCCTAGCCTAATGGTTTATGATGGTTTACAAATGACAACCAGACAATATCACGAAAAAACACACTTATGATAGCCTAAGATAAATCTTTATTTTTACATTTAAAATGATGAAAAAAAGTTTTATAGCCTGAGTTGCGTGTTATCCGTGCCAAACATATTTTCACGGTAATAACTGTGAATTTTGGCATCTTTTTTAGGTATTTTTCTGGCTACACTAATGCCTTAAAATGCAACTAATTGTTTTAAATGACATTAGATTGTAACATTTAGCTTTTCCCTAACACTGATGTAGGTTGGATAATAGGCTACGTGAAGCGGGATGACTCGGTTAAGCTGATTTCACTATATTTATTTACCGGTTACACGAATAGTCTGATCGTGGGTCAGCTTGCATGTGTGGGCATAATTTGACGTCTTTACCTAAAACTTTAAACATTCATATGCCTGTTATTTAAAATAAAACAGAAATAAGGAGAATAACATATGATTTAAAGCACTCGTTTGGCACTAAAGCCATGATCCGTCTGCATTAATAAGCAGTATAGTTGCATTAACGTCATTAATAAAATCAGTAAAAGCGAAACTGTGCATATTATTATTACTATTAAAACGTATATTACTGCCTAGGTGAGTAACAAAGTAAAGTAATAATAAATGTGAATAAATAGCCTAAATGAAAGAAACAAGGGAGACCAAAATCAGCCACCAGGTCTAGCGCCCCCATATGGATTTAAAATGCCCCCTCAGTTCTGACATCCTGGCGCCGGGCCTGGGTTGACACAGCCATTAAATAAATGTCCATAAACTTTGGTGGCTGTTTGGTGAACTTGATCATACAGCCGAGTCAGATCATCTGAATGAGCTTGTGAAATAGTCTGGCAGGAAGTCTTGATAAGTGGCCATGACATGCATGCAGAGCTTGATAACTATAGCACTGGAGATTTTACCATTAAAAGATCTGAGAGGGAGCTGCGGACAATCCCACTATGTGGGCGGCACCTTGCAGACATTAGTGGAGCACGATTGACTTCTGCACCTCAAGAGTACCCATTTACCCCCATGTTTACCTTCCATTGAGGGTAACGAGAGATGAAGACTTGAGGCTCTGACAGTGAAAGGTGCCTTACAATCCTTAAGCAGCTTCTCATGCAAAACACACAATTTTTTACTGCCAACAATCCCAGCAAGCTATCAAGAAGGAGATGTGTTCACCTCTAAAAGCATTGTTGCTTGAGTGAGGGCATGAAATACAAGCAAGCACCACCTTCACATGCTGGATCCCCAGACATGTGACACAGAGCTTGTTACCATCCTATGAAGGTAGAATAAACTGCATCTAGTGGCCACTGAGTGGTAAGGAACGGTACGGTTCGGTACGCTTTTATGGCCGTTTCCACTGTCAAAAGGCGTACCGAACCAAACCGTACCGTACCACTTTTTCAGTACTCTTTCAAAAGTTTCCCAAACACAAGAAAGGGTACCAAAAGGCGGAGCTAGACGCGCAGCTGAATGCTATTGGTTTACAGAGATATGTCATTCGCTTGCGCAACAAGTTAGAATGTAAACAAAGGACCTGCCATGTTTGAAATACACAGCGAGAGATTACAGCGGAATTATATATTCATATAATAATGAGCCATGATCGATCCGGGCTCAAACTAACCTTGTCGTTGTCTTAATGAACAGCCACAAAGCCATAGAGTAGAGCAGAATCTACCCTGTGCCTCTTAGTTTTTAACAAGCCAGTCTGAAGAGCGAGCGGTTTCTATTTCTTCCTTGCGCTCGCCGTGCGTCTCTATCTGAAATAACAAACTTCTTGAGCTGATAATAATAACGTGTGCTTGATTATTGACAAGCTTTTGGAAACCCGATCCTGTGAGAAGCTGACAAACGAGAGTGACACATTCAGAAAGAAAAGGACAAACGCGAGTGGAGCGCGGGAGAAAAGGGGAAGGCAAGGAGCACGTTATTTCTTCAGCAAACTGCCGTGTTTTAATTTTTATAATCACCTTTTGGATTAATATGAACTGGGAATGATGGAATGACTCTCTAACAGAGGCTTCATGTGCTGCTGAAGATTACAGACACAGATGAGAGGTTTACTCTGACTGTAGGCTGTACTTTGTGTTGTTTTGAACCTAATTAAGGATGAAATGTCTGCTGTGTGTAGTTCTTCTGTAGTTGGTAACATATCGGGGACTGTAAGGGGCTGTTTGTGTTTGCATTTGTTCATTTATTTATTTATTTAATATAATTATAGACGTTACAGTAGGCTATTTCGCACCGCCATTGATCTGCAGTTATAATCAACTCATGTTCATAGAAAAGTTCGTAATAAACATTTATACACAAGTATTTATGTGCGTAAAGCATCTGTTTTGTGAGAAGTGCTTCTCAAATGATATGTGAATGACCTGTGCAGCTTTATTGTAGACAATTTCTCAAGCGAAAATGACGTCGACTGAAGTTTTGTCATACACCACACCCACCAAAAGGGTTCTTGGTAGTGGAAACGCAAGCCTGATAAAGGTGACCCGTACTGACCCGAACCATACCGTACTGTACCAGTCAGTGTAAATGAGCCATAGATGTGCATGGATGGCACTGTGTTCTTGTCAGAGATGTGGTTTGCATGTGAGAAAAAAACTGAATGATTGACTGCCTCTATAAGACTCTTGCATGGCAGAGGCCTCGCTTTCATACAAACTCAGAGTAATTGTTCTCCTAATCAAAATCCCCATAATGCAACACAACATAACTTGTAGTGGACGACTGAACGAGGGCTATAATTTCCTGGATTAAACCTTCTGACTCAAACATTATTTCAGCTTATTACCTTGTGTTAGCACATGTGTCTCCAGTGAATCTATTTTCTTCTTCATCTCTTCATATTTCACCAGTTTTTTCATCTGTGCCTCCAGGAATGTCTCTGTGGAGTAAACGCCTCCTCTGTTTTCCTCCAGCATCTGCTCAATGTTCTCCATCAATGTGGACACTTGTGTTTCAGGACTGAAGTGATGATGTCTTCCTCCAAAACTCTGAATGACAGCCTGTGTTTCTTCATTGAGTTCTGCTGTCTGATGCTCTGAGTTCTGCATGATGAGGATCATGATGTGTTTGTTGATTCTGGAGCTGAAGATCTTCTGGATCTCCTGCATTTCACCTCTGTCTTCATTATTAAGTGGAGCGTCAGGAATAATGAGGAGGAAAGCATGAACTCCAGGATGACAGCGAGACACACAGCGGAGAGTCTGACGCATCACTTCCTCCTCTGAGAGCCCAGTGTTGAACAGAGCTGGAAGCTCCAGCACATTGATCAGACCACCATGAAGATCCACGTCTGATCTTCTGTGTGTGTGTTGCAGGATCAGCTCTGAGATGGAGGATTTCAGTGAGCCGTCGCTCCCACACACCAACACATTCAGCCTCTCAGACTCTGAAAAAGAAGAAGAATAATGAACATTTCACCTGCTCACTCCTTCTCATCTAAGATGATCAGTTCCTTCAGTCTTCAGTAAAAAAGAAATAAAGGCTTCTGAGGAAATGATGCAGGGATATATTTAATCCAGGGGTTTTCAAAGTCTAAGACAGTGGGCCTCCCTTTTGACACAACTTATCCATTGGCGCCCCCCTCCTCCCAAAGACGCATGCACACACATGCGCGCACACACACACACACACACACACACACACACACACACACACACACACACACACACACACACACACACACAAATTCTGGAGGTTTTCCTGCTACCTCATCATGCTTGGTTTCAAGTTTAGCGGGTCTCATGCTGTCATTAGCCAAAATATTTTGACAAACCACACATAAAGGTCGTGGTTCATCAGCTGGTCCTGTCCACGTAAATCCTAAACTCAAATACTGATCATCATATCGTCGTCTTTTGGGTTTAAGCCCTGAACTTGAAGGCTTTGAATCGGGGGGTCTCAGAAACCGACCCATTGTATTAGCAGCATAGACTGTAAATTAGCAGGCATATACCTGTATTGGCGGGCTTGCCAAACAGAAGCGAATACACAGCTATGGCCTTCTGGGTAAAAAAGGTTTTCTTATATTTGACGTATTATTTTTTTAGCTTTGTTTAATTAAAACGTTTAAATATAATAAAAAATACATATAATTAAACTAAATAATTATATTTTTATTATATAATATTTTTTCCCGCGCCTCCCCTGACATGCTCTGGCGCCCCCCAGGGGAGGCGCGCCTCACACTTTGAAAACCCCTGATTTAATCCATATAGATTGTTTTCATTATACATCATCAGGAGGCCATATTGGAGTAACAGAATGTAAACAATGGCAATGAACCAAACAAAACAACAATTTTCTTGTTTGTTGTTGCTGAAAATAATCAATTATTGTCATGTTTTGGACTGTATTAATTGGCCTCAATGGGAATTTTTTTAGACTCCTAAAGCTGTCAGAGGTTTTAACAAATCAGTATCTATGGTGGATGTCTATGGCAGTTTTGAAGGGCATTAAATGATCCCAGCTGAGGAATAAAGGCACAGGGTGTACTCTCACCTAGACAGTGCTGTGTAGATTATATTATTTGATTTCTGCAGTGCTTTTAACACCCTTCTGCTAGGACACAAACTACAGCAAATGAGAGCTTATACATGCCTGGATTACACATTATCTCACAAATAGACCACAGTTTGTTAGTCTTGTGGACTTCACCTCTCAGACTGTGGCGTACCACAGGGAACTGTTCTCTCCCCATGTACTCTTCATATTATAAACTCAATCAACTTCTGGTACAACTTAGTGGAATGCCGCATGCAGAAGCTTTCTGATGACACAGCTGTTGTGTCATGCATTAAAGATGGACAGAAGGAGGAGTACAGGAATCTGGTGGAGAATTTTGTTGGAATAGTGTAAGACAATCAATCTGCAGTTAAACACAACCAAAACTAATGTAATGGTAGTGGATTTTAGGAGGTCCACAAATGTGGTCAAAACTCATCTTGCACTAGCTCTGGGATCAAGGCATAAATTTCATTTAACAGTAAGGCGGATCAATTTCTCATGAGCAATTTTGGATTGGGACACAAATAATACAATTAAATTGTACTTATAAAGTTATGTCACAGTGAAATCTATGCTTCTAGCATTATTATTGGTTAGGGAAGGGTGTGGGCGGGTCAGTTGGTCAGTCAAAGACAGCAAAGGAGAGCTGGTGAGAAGTTTTTACTCATTGATATTTCTGTTGATTTGACATGCTGCTCATTTACATTAAATAAAGGAATTAAAGACGGAATTTAAATTTATTACACAATAAATACAGTGGGGTCATTTCAGACATAGCACACTGCTCATTTAACAAATGCACTATATGCTAATTGTGGCTGTTAAAGTGAAGTTAACATAGGGCTGGGCAATAATTCAATATTAATATATATCGCGATATAATTTTTGCAATAACGGTGATATGATTTTAAACCCATTTCCGGTATTTCAATATAAATTTAAATATATACTTTATTATATATAAGATACATTGGTTCATCTGTCACTGAATGACTTTCAGTGCTCAGCTGTGAAGAGCGTGATCACTTGCGTGATGACTTATATCACAGACACGCTGCTGCCAGTGCTCAGCAGTTCGCCCTGAATACAGACGTGTATGAACAAGCTTTCACGAGTAAGAATGCAGACGACTTAGTTGATGAGAGGAGCGGGAACACATCAAATCTGTTCTGCCTGATTGAACAGTGGTCGGGAACTAATGGCAAAACCCACCATGCAGCTTTTGGGGCAAAGTACAAGCTGAGCGAAAGCCGAAAGAAGGCATGCGTATGTATGTGAGAGAGACTGTGAATGAGTCCGGGTGAAAAACAGCTAGCAAAGCTGTGTGCAGTGTTGCCAGATGTTGCTGACTGATTCCAGCCCAAAATCAAAAACATGCCGAAATGCAAAAACAATCGCCCAATCAAATTCGAAAACGTCCAATCTGGCAACACTGGCTGATTGCAATGTGTACACGTGCACACACATAAAGGTAGTCACTTTTGTCTAATCAGCTTTCTTACGTTTACAATCACTCTCATTGGTTGGTGATTATTGTTTCGTGCGCAGTGAGCTGCGAAAATAAATAATGACATAGTGGCCTACTAAATAACATATGTATTTTCAAAAATATAAATAGAAAAAATATGGAAAAACTATTTTATGTTAAACCTTTTTAATTTAATTGGGTAATTACATACACAAATATAAATAGACAGATATTTCTTGAAGGACATTCAAGATGAAAAGCAAGCAGAATTATGAATATACTCATCTGTTTGTAAAGGCTAAATACAAAAAAAGTGAACATTAATTTTTAGGATTTTTTTTTATTTAAAAAAAGTAGGTGGTGTTAAAGACTTTGCAAATTCAGTTTGCAGACATTTGTAGGTAGAGTCATCCATTGTGTGCGTTCTTGGAAGTTTTTTCCAGGCTTTTTAATTTTGTCCATATCAATATCTGAATTATATCATATCGACCGAAATTAAGAAATATATCATGATATAAATTTTTGCCATATCGTCCAGCCGTAAGTTAACATTACGCCAAGTCGTCACAAATAAAACAATGAATGGGAAACGGCTATGGCATGTTAGTTGTAGTGCACTATACAACAAGCTATTGTAAACAAGCTAACGTTAACTAGATGAGTATTTAAATTTTTAATATAGCAGACGCACGGAAAATTACATCAGTAATCATCATTTTTGCTGCAAGTAGTTTATGAATGAGTCTGCATCAGCTACATTAAAGAGAATCACTTTATTTACAGTGAATAAAATACCCTACTGACTGAAGTTCAACATTAACTGGAATCTACACACAGGTGAACTGAAAAAGCAGGCAGTGGGCCAAACCACTGTGAGGAAGAGGAGGGGGGACTCAACTGTTTCTAAATGCATTTTTATGTTTGTTTGTTTGTTTTTCTACTTGCATACTTATTTTAAGTATACATACATAGATTTTTTATTATAGAGTATGCGATGGGAAGAAAGCAACCCTTGGATGTGAGGGGACACTTCCCCCCTGGGATTTACACCTGTTACTGGAATGTAAGTTTTTGTGGCCTTGAATTCTTGTCTGGGAGCATTTAGGGTATTTGAAGCTGCACTGAAACTGTAATTTGGAAGTTCAAACCACTGATGATCATAAAAATCCACTGCATGGAGAATAAAACTATGTTTTTCCTTCTTTTTTAATCACAGAATCATAGTAAACTATCCAGAAAATGGTTCTGTATTGCCTTGAAGAGATAGCAGAACATTTGCCTTGACTTTGAATGTAATTTACTCTCACAAATACTTAAGTCTGTGTTTGGTGTGAACCTGGGATAAGTGAACTAATCCTTTAAAGCAGTGTTTCTCAACCATGTTCCTGGAACCACCAGCACTGCAAGTTTTGAACGTCTCCTTTGTCTGTCACACCCATTACAGGTCTCTCAGTCTCTGTTAATGAGCTGATGATCTGAATCAGGTGTGTTTGATTAAGAAGACATGGATAACATGCAGAGATGGTGGTCTTCCTTGAACATGGTTGAGAAACACTGCTTTAAAGAATATTAATTTACTACTAGAAAAGCAAATACAGTCCCACTCACGTGTCTGTGTGTCCTCTGCTGTGAAACACTGTGAAGCTTCACACTGAGCACAAATCAGGTGTCGTCCCTCATTGCTCCGCTCGATGTCCTCAAAGGCCTGCAGAAGATGATCAGCAGAGCTGCTTGTCTGAAGACTGAAGTGTCTGTTGGAGCACTTCTGGATGATCTTCTGCAGGATCTGATTGGGTTCAGTGGGCTCTTGTGTGCTGAGCACCAGGGTGTGTTGAAGAAGGTGCTCAGAGAAAGAGTCCTGCAGCTTCTCCACACGCTCTTGATCTTCTGCTGAACACTGCTGATGTTGGAGGAGCAGAAGCACCACATGAGGTCCTGGATCAGACAGACTCACGCACTCTCTGACCGTCTGTGTGATCTGATCATCTGAGATGTTTGTGTGGAGCAGCTGAGGACTGTTGATGAGCGTCACGTGTCTGTGCTTCAGTCTTCCTCCGACTCTCTCCACAACATCTGGAGGAGCTTCACTGTCAAACGCTGATCGACCCAAGATCAAGTTTCCCACACGGCTGTTTTCTGATGCATTTTTCCCCAGAAGAAGAATCCTCAGAGGAGAATCATCACTCACTGAAACACACACACACAAAGTAGTCTCACTTAAACTCTGCTCAGACTGCAATTTCACACATGATTCGGTCAAGACAAATTTGGGAAATCCTAAAAGAAATGTTGTAACGCTATGCTAAAATCACGAGTCTTTGATTGCTGGTTTGACGTTTATGCCAACAGCTGCTCAATATTCTGAATGATCTGTCATTGGAAATCAATAGGACATACATATGCAGACTTATTCTAGTGATGCATTTCACTTCTACATTAAAATCACTCAGATTGAGATGACTTAAAGTGCAACCCATTAGTTTTCTTTGTTCTATAGAAGCAAATGGCTCTGTTGTGTTTGTAAGTAAAAACACACGTTACGGTTTTAAGTGATTTCTCACTAGGGATGGACAATATACAGGGTGGGCCATTTATATGGATACACCTTAATAAAATGGGAATGGTTGGTGATATTAGCATCCTGTTTGTGGCACATTAGTATATGTGAAGGGGCAAACTTTTCAAGATGGGTGGTGGCCATGGTGGCCATTTTGAAGTCGGCCATCTTGGATCCAACTTTTGTTTTTTTCAATAGGAACAGGGTCATGTCACACGTCAAACATATTGGGGTTTTCACAAAAAAAGCAATAGTGTGCTTGATTTTAACATAACTTTATTCTTTCATGAGTTATTGACAAGTGTCTGACCACTTATAAAATGTGTTTAATGTGCTGCCCATTGTGTTGGATTGTCAATGCAACCCTTTTCTCCCATTCTTCACACACTGATGGCAACACCGCCGGAGAAATGCCAGCACAGGCTACCAGTATGCGTAGTTTCAGGTGCTGCACATCTTGCATCTTCACAGCATAGATAATTGCCTTCAGATGACCCTAAAGATAAGTCAAGATGACCGACTTCAAAATGGCCTCCTCACATATACTCAGGGCCGGCGCATCCATAGAGGCGACCTAGGCAGCCGTCTAGGGCGGCAGAATAGAGAGGGCGGCATCCAGGACACCTCCCTCACCATCCGTGTTCTCAGTTATATCCGTGCCTAGGGTGGCAGACTAGAGCGAGCAGCGTCCGCGACACCTCCCTCATCGCTCTTCACTTTGATTACTGGTCACTTTCGTTTTTCCTTCAGAGTTGAAGGCGGCATGATCATCCTTTGCCTAGAGCATCAGTCCAACTGGCTCCAGCCCTGCATATACTAATATTAACCTTTATTTAACCAGGTAAGTCAATTAAGAACCAGTTCTCATTTATAATGATGACCTGATGTGCCACAAACAGGACGTTAATATCACCATTCATTCCCAATTTATTTAAGGTGTATTCATAGAAATGGCCCACCCTGTGTTATAATTTGCAATGTACAGGTAAAAAATCCTCACGTTTTCAGATACACTTTTAACCAGAAGAACAATCCCCATGAGGCTTATTGACTGATGGCTTAAGCAACCAATCACGTCATGTTTTGTTTTTTACCACATCATGTTTCAAGGTGTGGAAATGTTCTGCATAATCACAGCCAGTTTATGCAATCAGTTATATATTTATATAGTTTTATATATAATTCAATTTAAACAAAATTCTATATTTTTTATAAACTGCTGATAATAGAAAATAATAGAAGGCACAACAAACGTATAACATATTTGTTAATAAATAAAGGTTTAAAAGAGCCTTTCATACAAACATTTAGTAGAAATTGTCAGACAGGTGGCCTTCAAAAATTAATCAGAGAAGAAGTGGGCCCCGAAATGAAAAAGGCTGAGAACCCCTGCATTAACAATTTTCAGTAGGCCAACATGTGTTTAAGATCCTTTTATTATTGTCATATGAAGTATTCTGATTTAGTGAAATACTGGACTTGAGTTTGTCATCTTTAAGTCATAATCATTCAAATTAAAACACATAAAGGCTTGACATATTCCCCTGTGTGTGCAGTGAACTAACAGAGCACACAAGATCCACTTTTTGAAGCAAATTATTGAGATAAATGGACTTTCCCTCAGTACTCTATTATTTGGCACATACCTTTATATACAATTATATGAACATTGCAGCTTTTTTTCTGCTCAAACTTGTTTCCAGACAGGCTAATAAAGACACACTCGACTTCCAGCAATCCTGTTTATTTAAACCCATCAGAGGATGACTGAGGATCTGCTGACGTGTCTCCATTAAAGTGTGGAAATAACACTTTCAGTCACAGATGTGCTCAGCATGAAGTCTGAGGCTGACACTACACAACAAGTGTTAAACGTTTCATTATGACTCAAGCATCTGCAGTTTTAATGCATCAAATCACTAGCAGACAGGGAAGAGGAACGTTTTTGAGGAACACAATTATCACGTTTTTAATGTTCATATATATATATATATATATATATATATATATATATATATATATATATATATATATATATATATATACAGGGCTCGAAATTAACTTTTTTACTTGGTAGCACCGGTGCTCCCAACTTCAAAAATTTAGGAGCACCAGAAAAAATTTAGGAGCACCCACCAAAAATGATTGAGCACCGCTGCAAATTGTATTTTAAGGGAGATATTGTATTTTAAAACAACATCAATTAGGACTAACAAAAACCAGAAACAACTATAATTAATGCTGAGATGACATTGATATTTGTGTGCAATAGTTCCAAAATGTGTATGTCTAATAATTCTAGAATATTAATGATGATGAAAATGACAATAATAGTAACAATGAATTCCATTTCTCATCATCATGCTGCCTTGAATGTGCTTGAATGTAAGTTATCTGCTATAAAAAGTCTGTTACTTTCTGAAAAATAAATGTATAGTTTGCATCAAACAAAAATGAAGCATTGCAGTAAGAAATATTTATTTTGTGCTGCTAAACAGCATATATATGCATGTCAGTTTAATAAATAATATTTCAGCTGCAAAACAAACAAAAGATTATAATAAAATATTAAATTCAAGGCTGAAAGCTGCAAAACAGTCATCAGTAACTAAATAAAAAAAAAATATATACATCTCATAAAAGAATAGGCAAAAGAAAGTAAGTAAAGTCTCACTTCTATCACTCTTTAAAAGTTTTGGTTTCAGTTTGTGTCAATTTAAAGGTTCCGTCTGAGCTGATTTTCATTTTTCTGTATTTGTGGAAAAGCAGGCGAGTCAGCTGACCCAATTTATGAGCAGGTTAAGCACCGGCGCAATACCGCTGTTTGTTATGAGACGCAGTTTCAGTGTAAACTTAGTAAAGGCAAGCTTCTTTGGCGATGATACAGTATTAGATTTGACTTTTAGCGGACATTTGCGCTGAACACGCAGTGAATGCAACGCATCGAGATTCGACCACCTTCTCCGAAAAGCACATACTCGATTGATCTCAGCTGGCGGATCAATATTCACCACGTGTCATGATCGCTCTCATCTGCGTCTCAACTTTAGGTGGGGTTTGCACTTAGCAAACCTGTGTGCTTTAAGTTTTTACACTTTAGCCGTTTGCATTTCCCGTGGACATAAAAGCTCCCTCCCTGTCATCTAACAGTGGATAGCCTTGAGTGATTGACAGCTAATATGAACCAATATAGCGGCAGGGAAGAGCGATTCAGCACGTTTTTAAAAAAAAATCAAAACAGGTCGCACTAATGCGCCCAAATATATTATGAGGTCGCATCGATTAATTTTCGGGCGCATATGCGACCAGAATAGTCGCAATTTCAAGCCCTGATATATATATATATATATATATATATATATATATTTTTTTTTTTTTTTTTTTTTTTAGACAACAGTTCTGTCTGATTCTCAAATCTGATTGGCTGATAGCTGTGTGATATTCTGCCAACGCACGCCTCCCACCAGTGCCAATATACAGCCAAATCGCACTGCTACTCGTGTAATATTGTTCATATATATATATATATATATATATATACACACACACACACACACACACACACACATATATATATATATATATATATATATATATATATATATATATATATATATATATAGAGAGAGAGAGAGAGAGAGAGAGAGAGAGAAAGAAAGAGAGAGAGAGAGAGAGAGAGAGAAAGAGAGAGAGAGAGAGAGAGAGAGACTTACTGAATGGTGGCTCTATCTCTTTGCTCTGACTTCTCTTGTGAGCAGAACCACGAATGACGGCTACAAAACATTAAATTGAGCACATGTCAGACAAGATCAGCATTAGAGCAGTTCTACAGAACACAACACATCACATTTATACATCTGCAATTCACTTCTGTGTTTATTTCCAGTCTCACCATTACAAACATGAATATAATGACAGGACATAACTCAGACCAAGAACAGTTGTACAATAATGTATAATTCTTTATTAAAACACCTATCAGACTGGTCATCAGCTTTATCTGCTGTTCACACATGCTGTCTCGAGGAAAGATGTTGGCTGAATAACCTCTCACCTCTGCTTTCTCTGCTGGACATCTTCTGCTCTTCATCAGCTCATCATCATCATCTCTGTTCATGTATAAACTGATAATACTGATCTTCATATTATTATCATATTATTTCGCTGCTCGTGTTGATTTGTTTTGCATTCTCCAGTCTTCAGTTCATCTTCTTCTCTGACTCCTGATGTTCGTCTCTTCATCCTCCTGAGATTACACAGATTTAACTGCATTAATAATATAGATTAGGTTTATTTTATTTTTAATACTCTGTTATTTAAATATTTTGAATACAAGTTAGCTATATCTTATTGTTAATAAATACACAAATGTTTGGGTGTATCTGAGCATTTGTTTTCACTGATTTACCCTTTACTCAGCAGCCTGTGTTGTGATTAAATCAAATGCAGGCTTATTTCAGCAACATAAACACTTTTCATAAAAGGGATTCAAGCAAAGTTAAAAAATTATGGTTGTTTTACCTTCACAGGTGTTTAAAGCAGATTATAACTGCATGTTTGAAAAATAGGAATCAAATCTTACACTTTGTGTTAGTTATGAAAGTGAAACTAGCAGTTTCTGCAGCGTGTACAAATACAACTACACATCAAATATATCTAAAATATTACGTGTTTTTCTACACTCATATTCACATACACATTTACACCGTCCAGTGAATATATTTAAAGTAAACATCATACCTGCACAGTGAAGTTTCTCTTGTCAGTCACGAGAACAGGAAGTACCGTGTGTGCGTCTGCGTGTGGGCGGAGTGTTGTGACGTCACACGACACGCAGAGCCTGTTTTTATATGTGAAATAATTTATTTAGTTGTCTTGCTGATCATAAGTTAATCATACTTTAATATCTCTTCGCTAATTCCTCGTCAGTAAAATAAAATCATCGTCTAGACAGTGTTCAGTGCTGGTTCAGGTTCAGTGTCTCTCACAGCTCCCTCTGCTGGTGTAAATAATCACTGCAGGGTGTGTTCATCTGCAGATAATCAGGCTTTATGTGTATTTGTGGCAGTTTTATACCTGTTATATATATATATATATATATATATATATATATATATATATATATATATATATATATATATATATATATATATATATATATAACTCAATAGTAACTTTCACTAATGTTGGGTATTAAGCTACAGCTGCTGTGTAGGTTTGCAACACACATTTATCAGTGGTCATGTTATTGTCTATGACATAAACAAATTATGAGAGTCACTAAAAATTACATCTCCTTTGATTAATTCATATTTTTGTAGTTGTAGGTTTAAAATATAGTAAACTTTTTTATATCTCCTTTCTCTCTCTCTGGAATGCAAATAAATGTGGAAATTTTAACACTTTTATTTATCTGTTTTAATCATTTTTAATCTGTTGTTTTATCTCTTGTGCCTATTGTATTTCATTATTTTTATCTTCTAGTTTTGGTAAACATTTTGAATTACCTTTGTGTATGAAGTGTGCTGCTTTATAAATAAATTTGCCTCGTCTAGCAGATAGCCTAGATAAATGTTCTCTTTGTGTTTACTTCCTGGGCCGTTTATAACAAAGCTGATATTTAGCTGCACCATTGGTGCTTCATAACATCTAATTGTTACAGAGTGGGTTGTTAGCCCAACACTCAACCCCAATCTGAATAATCAGGACACACACTCATATACCACAGCTAATTTAGCTTTCCCAATTCCCCTATAGCACATGTGTTTGGACTGTGTGGGAAACCGGAGCACCCGGAGGAAACCACTCTAACACAGGGAGAACATGCAAACTCCACACAGAAATGCCAACTGACCCAGCTGAGGCTTGAACCAGCGACTTTCTTGCTGTGATGTGACAGTGCTCCCCACTGCACCACCGTGCTGCTGCTCCTCTTTGTGCTTGCTCATGTAAAATGCACAGCTACAAACATCATACAATAATATGTGTAGTATATTTAAAGGGTCAGTTCACACAAACTATTAACTATTGTCATCATTTGAGTTTCTTTCTCCAGTTGAACATAAAATAAGACATTCTGAAAATTCTGAAAAGAAAAAATCTAAATTATCCAGTTTCCCATAAAGGTTTAAAAGAGAGAGTAAATCATGAGGTAATTTAGATTTTGGGGGAACTGTTCCTTCTAGAGGTATACACTATGCATTGACTTGATTTAAATTGTATTTATTATCAAGTGAAAATCTTGCCGTTGAAAATGAGCCCTCCACATGTTCAAAGAATGTATAATGTTAATAATGTTCATTCCTGTACTTCATAAAAAAGCACTTATAAATAAATGCTTGAAATAAAAGCTGTTGTATCGGTGTGTTGATTAGTTAATAATAAACACTAAGATTTGTCATGATTAACCTTCATTGATCATTCTAAGAGACATCTATCAGTGAGAAAAGTGAAGACAGCAGTGAAATAAATAACAAACCTGTAATACAAAACATATAAAAAACATTGGATGATGCCTTAATTTCAATATAAAAATTAATGAATTAATGATACAGTGAGTTAATTTGAGCCACAGAATACACAAAACACCTGAAACCATGAAATATTGAAAACTGCATTCACACAATACAGACGATTACTGTAATCTACAGTTCAGCTCAGCAGAAAGCAGTGATATATACATGCTGTGAAGATAGTTTAGTGGTTTAACACACACACACACACACACACACACACGCACACGCACACGCACACGTACACACACGCACACATTTCTTTCACTAGTCACCTTTATAACACTGCTCTACAGTGGATTATTCCAGCACCAGCATCATCAGACACTGCTGTAGTGACTATAGCAAACACATACAACAATAAACAAGGCCGTTTATCAATATCCCTCATCATGTTAAAACCCATCCTCCATTTAGCAAACATCAGAGTTCTGCTGCTGATAATGTCTGGCCGTCATCACTCAGTTTGTCATGATAGTTTGTGTTTCTCACTGTTCAGAAAACTACTTCAGCTGACATTTGATGAGCTTCATTGGGGATTGTTTAACACATTTTAAAGAATAGTTTCAGCACATGTTGACCACAGAGTTTGAGCTGAAGGAGGATATCAACCACATTTCTGAAAAGACAGAGTTTTCTCCCAGCAGAACCGGATCTGATCTGTTATTCCTCTCAGGATGAGTCTGGATCTGCAGCCGGAGACTACAATCCTGAAACTACAACAGAAACAGCAGATCACAGACCTGGACTCATGATGAGGAGTGAACAGACTGGCCTATATTGTAGATCTGCAGTACATTTTACATCTCCAAGAAATAAACGTTTGTTTTTTGAAAAATAGTAGAAGCTTTAAATGAACCAGTTTTAATTATAACACAGATGATGCCAGGTTATCTCTGAAAATAAGGTCTGTATGTGTATTTAAGTACATTTTCTTTTTTAAAAATATTAACTTACAGACTCCTCCACTATCACTATTTCTGACTGTCTCCTCCTGAATCATACATTCAGCTTCAATTATTAGATAATAATAGAGTACAAATTTCATCACTTTTGTGTTTACCGCATTAAAAAAAGGTTCAAAAGATCCTGCATATGTGAAGAGTCATATATTTTTTTAATAATAGCTTTGTTTAAAACATTATTGACACACTTACAGTTGACAAAGCTGCCCATGCTGCCTCTCCTCCTCTTGACCAATTTTCCTCTGTTCTCCTTCATCAATCCCTCAATCTTCTGCAGCAGATGTATTCTCTGCTCCTCTGATCTTCTCTTGTTATTTATACAGTGATATTTTGTTCCACATTCAGTCAGCAGCTGCTGAAGATCCACGTTGACTTTTTGTTGTAGAAGTTGAGAAACTCTGGCCTCATCCTCATCTTCATGAGTAACCAGGATCATGATGCACTTCAAAACTTCAGGACCAAACAGATCTTTAATAAACTCCAGCATCTCCTGTTCATTTTCCAGCTTCTTCACTAAAGGCACGACCAGCAGAACTGAACTAAGACCTGCTGAACATGCAGACAGCAGCTGCTCCTGCAGTTTCTCTTTATCCACATCTGGATCCAGCACATCTGGGCAGTCCAGCACATGAACCCGTCTGTGCCCGATCTGTGTTTGACCCTCACTAAGCTCACACTCCTGCTCTGTAAACCTGTTTTCTCCCAGTATGCTGTTTCCAGATGAGCTTCTCCCAGAACCTTTCCTGCCCATCAGGACAATCCGCATCACTGCATCAACTGAAACAGAGATAGAGAATAAGATCATCAGACTCTCATCGCTGACTGAGAAAAACATAGATTTTGTTTCAGATAAGAGTTTTGAAGAATTCTGGATGCATTCTGTGTTCATTCTGTCAGATCATTTAGGATATTGATGCACTGTAATTGTAAACTGTTTAAGACGGTTGTAAAATAATAATGTGCACGGGTTACACACTGCTCTGCTATTGTGTGGACATTTTACACCTCTAAACATGACACAGCAACAAATATACACAGCTGGTTAATTAACCTGTCACCTGATGGCCCCGCCCTAACTGACTGATGGCCTCAACCTAAACGACAGATAGCCCAGCCCTAAAACACTTATAGCCCCACCCTAAATGACTGAAGTTCCACCTTAAAGGACTGATAACTCCGCCCCAAATGGTTGATAGCCCCGCCCTAAATCACTGATAGCCCTACTCTAAAATACTGAAGTTCCATCCTAAAGGACTGATAACTCCACCCCAAATGATCAATAGCCCCACCCAAAATAACTGATAGCTCCGCCCTAATGGAATAACAGCGCTTAGTTCTTATTATGGGCTCTTTTCTAATTGAATAAAAAGCTTATCTACTCATTTATGCACGTATGCTTTTTATGCGCATTTTCAAAGTTGATGTGCATCATGGCGTTTCCATCAACCAAACATTTAAGCAAATATCCCAAAATGAGCATTAAAATAGGTGGATGGAAACGTAGCTTTAGTGATGCACAAACAAAGGCTGTGTTAGACTTGAAGGGACTCATCTTATGCTCTAATCTCTGTAGAGTATCCCATCATACTTTTTACACTATAGTTGACCCGAAAACATGCACAGATTTAAAAGTTCATTGTGTCTTATTTACTTTGATCTTAAAAGTGAAAGTAAAAACACTGGCAGCGCTTTCAGTGAACGTCAAGCTCAAATGAAATCAACAAAGAATGAGGTTATTTGAACATCATCTTACTTCTTTTGCTTTTTTATCTTCAGTGTTTTTCTCATGTGTTAAGTTTTTTTTTAATGTTTTTTGGTTTGTTTTGACATAAATTTGATGGCACATATGTAATCCCATAGCCAGACACATGATCATTTAACACTAAAAGCGAACATGTCTGTGATTTATTTCCATTTCTCACTCTGTGATTAGGATTTAAAACACTATTATAAAATGTTTCACCCCAGCATCAGATGTAGATAACGCAGCTTAAATCAGAATATATACATTTCCTATAAGAAACATTTGTTCAGACACAGACAGTGTCTTACCTGTAAGTGGTGAAGCTCCCTCCGCCATCTTTAATGATAGAGAATCCTCCAAACACACACGGTTTACTGGATAAACTTAATGCTTTACACAAAACAAAAAGAGCAGATTAAATCAACAAATACTGTAGTTGAGAGGAGATTAGATTGGACAAACCCGAAGAGAAGAGTCACTTTCAGTTTAGCTGCTTTCACTTTTGCTTTGTTACAGAACTGGTTAGAGGTAAACAACACTAGGCTTGATGATGCATTGAGGGGAATTACGGGTGATTTGGAGGTGTAGTTCTTACAAATGAGATTATTAATTACATTTATCACCACGCAGACTTTATTTTTGATTTAAAAGTTGTGATTTAATCTACATAAGCTAATTATAAACAATTATGAACATTTGGTACTGTTTCAGGTGAGTCTAGCTTTGCATTTTCAGCTGTCACATTATCTGTGTCTCACTTGACACGTGAATCAGTTTTATCAGGCTGCACTGGACAAACAGTGGGTATGTTCGTAAAAAAATCTGTCATAATTAATTTCTGCCTGTCATGTTATTTGTCTATTTATTTAATGTTACAACTCTAAACATATATTTAATAAGTTTTTTTCAGCACACAGTGATGTTTTTCATTTTCTGGGGTTTAATTGTTTTAAGTATATAATAAGTTTCTCAGATCAGTGATCAGTTTAATCAGTATAAACCACTGCGCACTGCAGAGATCAACAGAAGAGGCTGCTGCTTTTATTAAACATAAAGCTGAGGAAATAGATCAGTCATCAATAGATCTCTGTGTTGTACGTGTGCTATTAGGACATGCTTGTAGAATTATTAAACATTAATAACAACTTATTAAATGGAAAAGTAGCATTACTTTTAAGTTTGCATTTTTTACAAGACTTTTTTTTAATTATTAATAATGAACTGATAAAGTCTTTATGATCGTGAAAAAACCTAACACAGCTTGGCAAGACACAAGTCTACAAGCATAAATAAACTGTTACGAGCAAAATAATGATCATGTGTAAAAGAGTTGAAGAGTTATTTTGTTTTTGGCCTCATAGCTGGAGTTTTCTAATGCTCCAAATCTCTAAATCAGCCCGGACTCTGCCTTTAGGCAGAGATTTACACTGAAATATGAACAGATATGCTTATGAAACAAATAAAACCTATATGAGTTATTATAATGAACACTGTTACAAACACAGACGTCTTTTATTTAACGCTTGAAGCCTCACAGACTCGCTGAAGCATGAAATGAAGGAAAGTGAAGGATTGTTTTCACTTTATATACAGTAAATCTGAAACAGAAATCAGCTGAATGAAAACAAAAGCAACGGAAATCTGACATTTTTGGTCAATGGATCAGTGAGATTAAAGATTAGGGGTAATTAAACAAACGTAGCTTATTAATCATCTTCACCTGAAGCAGAACAGATTCATCAACATCTAGAAAAGTGTCAGTTGTGTATAAAGTGTGCACGTGCAGAAATAGGAGAAAACATGATAAACAGAACAGGGAATGAGTGAAAAATCAAACACCAGACACTGAGAACATCAAGAACAACAGTAACAAAATAATGATAAATATAGTGGAATAATCCTCAGACACTTTCCTCTTCACAGCAGCATCTCAAATTGCTGAATACGTCATTAACGATGATGCTTCAGTATATAATGTGATTTATATAGGCCTGGGAAGATAAATACCTGAATACACCGTGACTCTCTCTAGAAACAATTCTGAGTCTAGTTTTTACCAGCAGATGGCGCTTCAGGCTAGTTTTTTTTTTTTTTTTACCAGTAGACGTGCTCTATACTAGTTTTTAACAGTAGATGGCACTCTAGGCAGGTTTCAAACCAGCAGACGGCACTCTAGGCTAGTTTTAAATAGTTGATGGTGATTTATGCTAGTTGTTTTTACCAGTAGAGGGTGCTATGTGCTAGTTTTTACCAGCAATCAGTGTTGTAGGCTAGTTTTTACCAGCAGACGGTACTCTAGGATTGTTTTACCAGTAGACAGCGCTCTAGGCTAGTTTTACTAGTAGATGGTGCAATATGCTAGTTGTGTTTTCCAGTACATGGTGCTCTAGGCTAGTTTTCACCAGCAGACAGTACTCTAAACAATTTTTTTGACCAGCAGATGGCGATCTAGGCTAGTGTTTACCAGCAGACAGCACTCTTGGATTGTTTTTACCAGCAGATGGTGCTCTAGGCTAGTTTTTACCGGTAGTTTTTACCAGTAGCTAGTTTTTACCAACAGACGGTACTCTAGGGTAGTTTTTTTTTTTTACCAGCAGACAGCGTTTAAGGCTAGTTTTTACAAGCAAATGACGTTTTAAGCTAGTTTTTACCAGCAGATGGTGCTCTAGGCTAGTTATTACCAGCAGATGGCCATCTAGGATTGTTTTTACCAGCAGACGGTGTTCTTGGCTAGTTTTTACCAGCAGACGGTACTCTGGGATCGTTTTTACTAGTAGACGGTGCTCTAGGCTAGTTATTACCAGCAGACGGTGCTCTAGCATAGTTTTTTCCAGCAGACGGTGCTCTAGGATCATTTTACCAGCAGGTGGTAAAAACTAAACTCAGAATATATTTAAGAAAGAATTGCAATGCCTTCAGAACATTTCAGAATCATTTCTCAAATCGCAATAAATCAATATATTATCCCAGCCCTAGTTTCAAACAACACAGATGTGATAATGTTCAGAAAATTCTCCCTCCACTTGATCAAAACCTGTTCTGATGAACAAACTAATAGACATATTTTGAAAAATGCTGGAAACCCAAAAGCTGATGGTCAACATTAACTTCAAGAGGTGAATACCTGCTTTAAAGGCACATCTCACCCAAAAACTGAAAATCTGTCCTCATTTACTCACACTTTACTCATTCCAAACCTTTATGAGTTTCTTTCTTCTGTTGAACACAAAAGAAAATATTCTGAAGAAAGCCAAAAACCTGTAACTATTGCTTCCATAGTCTTTGCTTTTCCTATAGAAGTCAATGGTTTCAGCTTTCTCGAAATATCTTGCTTTGTGTTCAACAGAAGAAAGAAACTTCAGGTTTGGAAGCACTTGAGGGAGAGTAAATACTCAGTAAGCTGTCATTTTTGTGTGTACTGTCTCTTTAAGGAGTAAGTTCTGCATTAGTATTGAGCTGTTGTTGACTATTCGACGGTAAGATCTTGAGATTGAATATGGTGTAACAGCTGAAGAACGGAATGAGTGTGTGTGTGAAGTTGGAGCTGAAGGTGTGTATGTGTGTGTTATTGACCGCATCAGAGAAGCTGATGGTTCCTCCATCATAGTCCAGATCCACACGCACTCGCTCCAGCCGCTGCTTCACCCGGACCCCGAACACGGGCCGCTCGGACACGCTGTACTCATCATAGCACACGCTCCAGACGTCAGCGCTGAAGAAATCCCAGCCCTTCCTCTGGTTGAGCTCTGTGGTGACCCCCAGAGTCCAGTCTGAGCTCTGTCTGACCTCCACTGCCCAGCTGAGAGTGCCCGAGCGGACGCCTTCTGAGGCCAGAACACAGGGGTGGTGGTCGAATCGCTCCGCATTATCAGGGAGAGCCCGTTTGCTCCAGCTCCATCTCACACTGCTCAGGTCAGCAGACACCAGCAGATCTGGATGAGCCGTGTTCGGGTCCAGAACCACAGGAGCTGCAGAGAGCAAACAGCAGATGCTCACATTTACACTTATTCATTAGCAATCAGAATCAGACAAATTTATAATTCTGAGCTACAGCAAAGGCTTGAGGAAAACTTTGCAGTACCAGAATTTATATTTATAGTCGGGTGCAAACAACACACAAAATACATTCATTCATTTTATTTTCGGTCCATTTATTAATCAGAGGTCGCCACAGAGGACTGAACCGCCAACTTATACAGCATGTGTTTTACACAACGGATGCCCTTCCAGCTGCAACCCCACATTAGGAAACAGCCATACACTCCTGCCTTCACAGGGCAGCTGATGGATACCAATAGGCCTAGCGTGCTGCAGTTCGGGCGGTTGCAAAAGTAAAAACTTGATCAATTCTTATGTTTAAAAATGTTGTAATTAATTCTAAGCTATTTTCTAAAAGTTATCTGCATTTTTGCTGTAATTATTAGAGAAAAGCTTTGCAATTTATTCACAGATGGAACAGCGCCTCTGTATTTTGGTTTATGTCTCCCCCTTGTGGACATTAAATGAATCGTCAGAATAAGCTGAGGTTAGATTACATAAATGCAATGATATGATTATTTAATACCGGCTATAATAAGACCCATCTGTATCTGAATAGGCAACACTGTGTTTAAAGGAACTGCTGATCAGAACCAATGATGAACAATGGAAATAGATTAATGAGTACTCACTGTGCTGGACGATGTTCTCCATCTTCCTCCAGACTCTGTGCATCAGGTTCCCCAGGTGTCGAGACTCATTGATCAGAGCTCCAGCAGGGATCTGTGGATCAGGCGGAGAAATCTGGACTCTAGAAGAAGAACATTCAGCATTTAGAAGAGCAGCCGCGCACACACACACACACACACACACACACACACACACACACACACACACACACACACACACACACACACACACACACACACACACACACACACACACACACCAGCAAGATCATTTACCTCTCCATCGACACTGTGAACTCCTGCAGAACAAACACAACACAGATCAGCAGGAGCTCAATAAATCAATAACCAATCATTTATCAATCAACTGCTTATTAATCAATCAATCAATCAATCACTTAATCAATCAATCAATTGCTCTTCAATTATAGGTGCCCTACAAAAAATATCTAGGCACAGCAAATAATAAGAGATCAGTGTATGGAAATGGTCACACTGAGAGCCTCAGACAGCACTGTTTCCTCCTCCTCATGTAAATCACACAAGTGTAAAACCCCGATGGACAACAGGCCAATCAGAACACAGCGACTCACAGGCCACACCATCAACATCTGCATGTACTTAAGGTTGTTTATCCTAAAGCAACTCATCATCAGGAGAACACCGGCTCATGTGCTGCACTGGGATCATTAATATGTGTCAGTATGCGTTCAATAAGACACAAGGTTTCTGAATGAGACGACAATGATCATTTCCCTCCATTAGTTATTTTAAGCTTATATTTAACTTGCAATGAGGGACTTTTAATTTTGAAAACGGGATGCTCAGATTGTTTACTATGTGTAATTAATATTATTAATATCCAGGGTCAATCCAAATATGGTCAATTATGGCTCTTTTGATTTTAGCTGTATTTTTACGGAGTAATAAAGAAGCTTATAAAAGCATTTCTGGAGATTTGTTGAACTTACTGAAGCCATAAATCTGCTATGTAGATATCAGAGAATAATTTAACTCATTGAACCTATACAGCGTTTGGCACCTTTAATCAATCAATCACTCAATCAATCAATAATATATTATACTCACCAATATATTACTCATCAACCAATCAATAACTCAATCTATCAATCTCTCCGTAATCAATCTTCAGACCTGTAGAAAGCGTATGCTGCTGCGGCTCATGCTCTCCTCCGTGTCTCTGATGGCGTGTGAGAGATCTGAGATGTGTTTATTGATGTCCTCCAGCTTCTCCTTCATCATCTGCTGCTTCTCCTCCTCTTCCTCCCTCACAGCAGACACTGAAGCTTCTTCTTCATCACGGAGAAACTGATGGAGCTTCTGGAACTGCAGTCTGATCTGACGCTCCGTCTGCTCCGCCTGAGCCTGAACACATTATATGTACAATCATATACATTATATAAACACATTTAAATATATATGCAGCATGTGTGAATACTACTCCTCACCCTGATGTGCTGGAGTGTTTTCTGGAGCTCCTCTTTAGTCTTCTCTCTGTGCTGCAGTTTCTCCTGTAAGATCTTCAGTGCTGCACTCAGCTGATCCTGAAGTCAAGAGGAAGGACAGCTTAAAGGGACAGTTCACCCAAAACATTCTGTCATTTACCCAACATTTACGTGCTACAAAACCTGACTTTCTTTCTCATGTTGAACATGCTGTAAAAGATTTCATTAGGGGAGTGGAGGTCTTTAAAGTTCTCAGTTTGAAGCAGACACGTTTATTGTTACAGCAGATACAGTGAGACAGCTGATCAGGGGTCTGGTGAGCGCATCCCAGCACACAGTTTAAATACTCTTCCTCACATAAATTCATACGTCAGTGCATTTCCACTCGCTTCACCAATAGAATCTCAGCTGTTTTAGGGTCTTCATGTCTATAGCCAATCAAAGGTCCTGTGAAGTGTTGTGAAATCTGTATGTTTCTTCAATAATTCTCAATCTCAAGTGCAACATGAAGAGAGGGCGGGACAAACAGTAGCTCCTCCCCTATTGAAAAGAGCAGCCAATAGCATGTTGTTTTCTCACAGCTCTGCCAGTGAGAGCAGCTGAGCTCAAGCGCATCTATGGTCGCACTTTATTTTGATGGTCTGTTTGTTGAGTTTAAGGTATATATTGCAATTAATTCTCATTAGATTATCAGTAGACTGTTAGGTTGGGGTTAGAGTAAGTGGACATGTATTTGCAAAGTTTCCTATAGTCAGTTAAGTGTCTGTTGAATGAGCAGTATCAGCAGATATTAGGCAGACAGACTACTAATACTTAAATGGACCATCAAAATAAAGTGTCACTGAATCAAATGAAAAGCCAATGAGGAGAAGGAGGCGGGGCATGTCAGACACTAGAGAGCATTTGATTGGTCAGAAGTTTGATGAGAAACTAAAGTATGAGGAGACGACAAAAAATCATTGATGCATTTAGGCGGAAGAGACAAACTGCAGACTACACATGTTTATTATTCATTCATTCATTCATTTTCTTGTCGGCTTAGTCCCTTTATTAATCCGGGGTCACCACAGCATAATGAACCGCCAACTTATCCAGCAAGTTTTTACGCAGCGGATGCCCTTCCAGCCACAACCCATCTCTGGGAAACACACATTCACACACACACTCATACACTACGGACAATTTAGCCTACCCAATTCACCTGTGCCGCATGTGTTTGGACTGTGGGGGAAACCGGAGCACTCGGAGGAAACCCACACGAACACAGGGAGATGTTTATAATAGTTTTATATTTTCTAAATGCACATTTTGTTTTTGGAGACTCTAGTTAATAGATATCCTGAAAACTAACAGACTGAAACTAAAATATAAAAGCCGGGATGTTCATTTAACTTTATGTTTGTCTTGAGGATGTGTGTGATTTTAGTTTTTGAACACAGATTTAATGCTTCCTTTATTGATTTTTCATAAGTAAGTAAATAAGTAAAGGTTTATTTCCCGGACAGTGAGTCACAAAGTGCTTTACAATAAGAGAAAACAAGTAAAAGAACACAAGACGATAAAAGAAAGCATGTCAAAACATATTAAAACTCATTAAAAAAACAAATACAAAAACACTAATACTGTTAATTAAAAGCTTGACCAAAGCTTGCGTCTTTAAATGCTTTTTAAACACAATTTTTCATATGTGTGTGTGTGATTCAATGTATCTTTGACCGCATTGCACACCACCTCTATATTTAGCTGAGGATGAGTGTAATCACATCTTTGATTTAAGACACACTCCTATTGGCTCTTGACATGTGTGTTCAGTATACTTAGGTACTTATGCGTATACTTAGGTGTGTGTGTGTGTGTGTGTGTGTGTGTGTATCTCTCTTTGGCTTAGAATCAGACTTTAAGTCTTGAGTCCTGCATTTCAACAGACAGTTCAAACAAGTAGTCTATGAAAAGGTCAATAATGGATAAAAATATATAGAAAGTCAATATAGAAAATAATTAGAAACTCTTTTATAAAATGTAAAAAAAGACTTGGGGGGGGGGGGGGGGGTTATTTAATATTACACTGTCTTTAATTTTTTAATTCTGCACAATTCTCCAAGCCCCTAGACAATAAGAGGATGTAACAGTTAATCTATTTATTTTGTTGATTAAGTTTTATGTTCATAAGTGTACATTTTCCAACCAAAATACAGTTTTACAGTGTTTTTATAAAGTGTTGCAAGATTACTCCTGTACTATTCAACATAGAGCTAATTACACTGTCCAACTGTGCCCACTTTTCAAACTCTTTGATTCATGGAAAAGTCGAGCTGGTCTATAACTGTAAAAAATATATATTATTATGTTCATTAACTATTTTTGTTTTTTAATTATTATTTTTTTGTACAACCTTTCTCCAAAGTACCAATATAGCAATAAATAATTAAAAGTAGACATTTTAAAAATTACATAGTAAACTACAATATCTAAAAAAAAAAAATACTCAATTGCAGTCATTTGAGTTCAGGCTGGATGATGTGACAAAAATCTCAGATTACATATAAGTCACCTCATATTCTGATAATGGGATATATCACGATGTAATACAATATCTGTAAATTCAATCGCTTAATAGTTTTTAAACATCATACTTTCAAGATTGCAGCTTCCTCACAAGACTCTTATTCATATTTCTGTCTCCATCCCTGTGATGATCTGTAATATTGCGCAAATATAATTATTATTAAAGTATTACCATAAACAATCTATTTGGTGACACCACAGAATAAACAATACAGCATAACTATAACATTTTTATTTTGACTGTATGAGATTTGTAATTGGACACTTTAAAAACCATCTTAGTTTAACAAAATAAAAAATGTCCATGTAATTAAATTAAATGTCTTGCCAGGAATCTATCATGAACTTTACAGTAGGGAATGCTAGGAGATACAGAAAAATAACCAAATAATAGCGTGATGTAGAAGAATAGAAGTGGATAAGTTTAAAGAGATGTAATGTGGATATTGAGAGCTTCAGATAATGTTTTAAAGATCTGTGAGCAATAATTGTTTAAAGATGGATAATGCAGAATATATGGCCAGTAGATTGAAGCAACTTCATTCATTAATTTATTCAATGACAACTTGTGACACGCTCTTTATATTGTTTACCATGGTACTTAATATTGGGTCTGAATCACATTTAAGTAAGACTTGAAAACAACATTAGCTCTATTTATTTGACTCTGAACAATGCTGTAGCTACTTTGCTAGTCACTGGCTACAAATATGATTCCTCTATTTAGAATTTGCACAGAAATCTTGCCTGAAATTAAATGATTGAGGAGGTCAGGATGGTGTTTAATGATTTAATACTTCACCGCAGTAAATTCAGCAGCTTTACCTTGCGGGGTGCAGCAGCTTCAGCGACGGGTCTGAGTGTGTGCTGGTCGTGCTGTTGAGAAGTGAAACACACCACACACACGGGCTGATTATCCTGCAGACAGAAGAGTTTGAGCTTCTCTTGGTGTAAACCGCACATGTCCTCTGGTCTGCTGCGTTTCCTCCGCGTCTCAAACTCCTCGCACAGGTTCTTCAGCGCCAGGTTCACCACCGGCTGAAGATGTCTGCAAGATCTCCTGCACACCGGACACTCCCGAGCCCTCCTGCCGCTCCAGAACTGACGGACACACCGCTGGCAGAAGCTGTGACCGCACGGTAAGATAACGGGGACACGGAAGACTTCATGACACACCGGGCAGATGTAGTCGTATTCCGCTTGCGAAGACATTTAAACCGCGGTTTCACTTTCACTTTAATGACGCTTCTCTCTCTCTTAGTTCTGAACAAACTCGAGAATCAAAGACTTAACAATACTCCTCTAACGCGCGTTTCTTCATGCTGGCGGCTGCATTTGTGTTTGTTTTTGTTTATCAGAGGAGAGAGAGATTATAGCGTCTCTTCCTGCTGATGGTTTGCAAGTGGGCGGAGCTTCTGATCACGTGTTCAAATAGGTCACGTGAAAAATCACGATTTCTTCAACTAATGAAAAAGTAAAACTGATATATCAGAGAATTACATTATTCACTTTTTTATTTTGTATGGAAAAGATTTTATTCACAAACAAAAATTCTCCAGTTCGCAGCCTTCTTTTCCTATATTTTTAATAGAAATTTATGTTTTTATTAAATCTCTTGGACTAGTTAATAATGAGAAAAGTGATAGATTCTTAGTTTTTTATGATAAAAATTTTTGGAAATAGCACAGATACATAAGTCCTCCTTTCCTCTTGCTGTATTTGTGTTATGTATGTATATGTTTAAGCTTATTTATTTATTTTTTCTTTCTTTTCTCTCTTTTATTTCTCTTTTTGTTTAATTTTTAATGTTGTTGTTATTTATCCTGATCTGTTATTATTATTGTGTTTTTTGTGTAAAATTGAATTTTGTATGTTTGTTATTGAAGTCAATAAAAAAAAAAAACATGAAAAAGCTTTTAAAATGGACTTTAAAATGACCAATGATAGCGAACACATATTCAGTCAAAGCATGAAAATAATTAAATATATCCTTAATAATACTCAATTAAGGCCCTTCAGCTCTTTGTTGTTGAGTTCAATTCAGCTTTATTTGTACAGCGCTTTTACAATTGTGTCACAGCAGCTTCTCATAAATGGTCATAGTAACTGTCTGCTGTTATAATCTTAAAGGAAAATATGTCTATACCGTATGTTATTTTTTACTGGAACAATATCTTTAATAACATAAACTGGACTCAAGTATGGTCATTACCTCATTTTTTTTATTACAAATAAGGCCAAAGAAATATAATTTAAATTACTTTATAGAGTTTATCCCACACAATTATTTCTACAAAAATGTAAAATTGATATTGAGTTAGAATGCTGTTTTTGTAAAAGCTTTAATGAAACTATTTCACATTTATTTTGGTCTCGCCAATATACTCGACTTTTTTGGATGAATGTTGAAGCTTTTATTGCTCATAACATCTTAAAAAAATTTCCTTATCTTATAAACATGTGATTTTGGGATTTTATGTTAAGGATCGCTCTTTAAAAGATGCTGATTTTATTATGAATTTATTATTCTGTAAATTTCACATACATAAATCCAAGTTTTCCAAAAGCAAACCTCTCTTCATGGTGTTAGAAAAAGAGATTCAACTGTATATAAAAGTGACTTCCAAGTCTCAAAATAGAAAAGCAATTAAAACAATTAATATGTGCTTTTAATTAATAAAATTAATACATTTTTGCATGATATGTTTGTGTATATGCATTTCCTGTTGAAATAGTGCATTAATAACTCTTGTTATTAACTAAAATTGGAAAATGTGTGTAATATATTTGTATGTAATTTTATTAATATTTTTTTATTATTTTTTTTTATTATTTATTAATATTTTATATTAATTTTTATTAATTATGTACCCTCTACTCTGTTTTTTGTTTTTTCTTTCTCTTCTCCTTTACTTTCTTTTTTTCTCACTTATTTCATTCTTGTTGAGAAATGTAAATTGATTGTATTGTATTGTATAAGAAAATTGTACATGCTGGTTCTTGTTAATTAAAAAAATAAAATAAAATAAACTGTCTGCTGTTATGCTCTAATCTCTGTCTGCATTATTTCTCTACATGAGCATGTGTGTGAGATTCCCTTCAACAGTCAAGTCTGTCGTTTGCTGTGTTTGTGCCTTTATTAAACACCCAAAAAGGCAAGGTTTTTTGTCGTATGTCTATTTTTTATGTTGCAGTTTTTATGGTAGTCATTCAGAAGCTGAGCTGCTGTGTTTAATTCCTTAATTGTGGATAAATAAATACAAAAGCTGAGCCCTTTACTACATCTGACTTTTGCAAAATAATTAGTATTAAGTAGCGCTGTGTAAACATTTATTCTGCTTAATCACATTCAAAATAAACGTGTTTAGACATAACATATATGTGTGTGTGTGTGTGTGTGTGTGTGCTGTGTATATCTATTATGCATGTATAAATACACATGTGCATGCATTCATTTGAAAACAAAAAAAACATGTATATTTATATACAAAATCTATATGTATATGACACAAATAATATACACATTGTAAGAATTGAAATATTGCAAATATTCTGATGTCTTTGACAATTCAAAACATGAGCTGAAAACAGAGACTGGTGACTTCACAACCCACCAGGGAGGAATGCGGGAAAAACCAGTTCCTGCTGCATTTGCATCTGACTATGCTGAGACTCAGCTTCATCCCCCCAACTCACACATATGGCCATTTCAATGTTTGAATGTTTTAGATTAACCAAACTGACTTTAACTATCATGTTTGATATCATTTGAAATGTCTCAGTGCGATTGGTACAATGGTCTCATTCTCTCAGAAATAGACATAATCAGAACAATAAATATATAACTTCAGGCATCTTTTGAACCACTGTGAGGGGTGTGACACTAAGTGTGAATGCCTTTTGTTATACATTCACACCCCCTTCCTTGAGGGAATTCTTGGATTATTTAAGGTAAGGTTTGAGAAAAACTCAGGGCGATTCTGCCTAACCAGATCAGCCCATAACATGGGGTCTGCCCCATGTTATGTATATTTCAAAGTCAGGAATGCATCTTTTTCATCTTGGATTTATCTTTGATAATTGGATGTTTTGTATTGATCATTTATGAATTGACTGATTGAATTGGCATAATACATTTACCTGACTAATAAATTGTAATGTTTGACCATATTTTGCTCACTCTGTAATTATTAATTCAAGTAGATTACGCTGTATCCTTGTTTCCGCACGTCTTGCGTCAGGTCAGTAGACGGACTAAAATCCAGTTGAGATGGAGCATTGGGCACACTAATTGTGTTTTAGCGATCCGGCTGACTCTTGATATGGATTCATGTGTACTTAGGTGGAAAGGGCGATAACTTCCGTCTAGGTCAACAAGGTGTTGCACGACTAACCTAGATTGGGTACCCGACCTTTGTTTGAAGGTAATATTATTCTAAATTAAGTTCATATGGGAAACCATGGGCCTGGTGAAAACCAAAGTTACTATAGAGTCCAGTAGTCGGGTACATTTATATTAATGCCCTAACCTCTAATTAGAAATGATGATTGTCTTAACTCAAAGGTGTACATCTAAGCGGGACTAACTAAAGTATTTTAGAACGAGCGCGCTGGTAGCGGCCATCTAAAGTATTAGTCAATTTACCTCTGTTTAATATTCAAGACTGACCGGAGTGTGACCGTGAGGGACGCCTTCGGCCGAGGCGATTTCTCTGAGCGACATGAGCACCCGAATGAACGGATGTAATAGTTACAAGTGAAGACAAACGGTTCAAACATTTATCTAAATTACATATTGATATAATCTTCTTAATGTTTTATAATTGGAGTCAGATAAAACGAGGATAAATATATTAATATTCTAAACCACCTCATACTAAAATTGGAGTCAGATATGAGTTAAGTTTAATATAAATCAACATTGTGCAATGGAAAGACCGAACATGCAGTGAACCTTCATCCACCATTGGATACCGTCATTGGACCAACTGGGTGGACCTTACAACATCTAACTTTCTTGGTAACAAAATAGTTTTGCTTTCATGTCTGTGACTGTTTCACATTTACATAGCAAATATAAATTATGCAGACAAATATAGTATATCAAAACAAGCTATAATGGCTCCTAGAGCACTTCACAAATGAACTTGAGTTGAACTGAATTGAACAGCCCCCTTATTGACATCAGCATGGAGGAACAGCCAATCACCGCAAGCTTCAGTTCATCATAACATTTAAGTAAGGATTGAAGAAGAGAAGAATGGAGGATAACTGAATACCTGATAACTGAAATCCTCATCACTCATTGGCCAGATGTTACTCAACGTATGTCCTAACTGGTTTTCGATTGGTCAGAATTATTGTGAGGGAAAATGCCAACGGAACTCCAGCAAATAAACAAACCGGCAGATACACAATGTCTTTTTACTATGGCAGGACGACTGCACTGGCTGATTGTATCCCTGCTCATAGTGTACTATATAGTTTGTATACATCACTTTAGACAAGCTGTACAGTTGAAGCATGACTGTGGCTGGCAAACTATGTTGTAATGCATTGCAAACAGTGAAGGTGCATCACACGTGACTTCAGGAGGAGGCGTGAATTCGTTTAGCTTAACTGCGACATGCTCATCTTCAGGAAAAATAACCAGTGATCTGTCAGACAATGTTTCCTCTCTCTCTCTCTCTCTCTCTCTCTCTCTCTCTCTCTCTCTCTCTCTCTGTTTAAAATTGTTGGTAAAGCGCTGTCAACAAATATTGTTCCTCCACACCCCACAAGATGGCACAGCACATCGTATCATGTTCTCACCACAAACAAACCACTGCAGCCAGGGTTCATTAGAAAGCATACCGAGACCACCTCTTCAAGTAGATCTCGGTCTGCTTTTGGTACACACTTGAGTGAGATTGCTGCATTCACACCTGCCCAAACCAACCACACCAATAGGGAAAACCCACTCTAGTGTGATTCATCATCATCATCATCATTTTCTTGTCGGTTTAGTCCCTTTATTAATCCAGGGTCACCACAGCAGAATTAACCGCCAACTTATCCAGCAAGTTTTTATGCAGAGGATGCCCTTCCAGCCTCAACACATCTCTGGGAAACATCCACACACACATTCATACACACACTACAGACAATTTAGCTTACCTGTACTGCATGTGTTTGGACTGTGGGGGAAACCGGAGCACCCGGAGGAAACCCACGCGAAGGCAGGGAGAACGTGCAAACTCCACACAGAAACCCCAACTGAGCCGAGGTTCGAACCAGCGACCCAGCGACCTTCTTGCTGTGAGGCAACAGCACTACCTACTGCGCCACTGCCTCGCGTGATTCAACCCAACTTAATAAGGTGAAAGCACCCTAAGATTATTGTTTTAATCATATTTGTTAAGTGTTATTTATTCATGGAAGTTTATTTCTGTAACCTTATATTTGCTACAACAAAAAACAATTAAAATATTTGAAAAACATCTTAGGCCTAAAGGCTGATTTATACTCATGCGTCGTGCGCACGTGTATGGTCCAGCGGTTGCAGACCCCTTGCCGTGGCTGATGCGCACCTCTCAAAAAATGTAACTACACGTCACAATGAAACATAGTGCAAGTGCTGTGATTGGTCGGCTTGGTAGCTGTGCCGAGTGTGGGGCGGGGCAGAGAGCTGCGAGCCTGATAAAGTAAAGCCGCCTTTCCACTGCACACAACATTTGGACACGACTGTCGGAATACGCCCCCTTGTGGCAGCTGCACAGTGTTTTCAGTGTTGTCGTGCACCACAGGGGAAAAGCTGATTTCACGGTGTCCGAAATAAAGAAGGGCAAAAGCAAGAGGCTTTATTCTCTGTGCGTTTATATGGTTTAATGAAAGAATCAATACTAGAAACTCATAGACCTCTAAATGATTTGAGTGAACGTGGAGACAACATTAAAAGTATATATTTTATTAGTTTTTTACTTACATTTATGAACAGAAAAGTTTTTTTTAATAAAGACTTTTTAGAATAAAAAAAATAACCAAATAAACTCCTATTTCTCATCTCGCGCACACGGACCTGCTTAGACAACACTGGAATACATCACATCCAATCGGCAGGTCGCATAAGGTCTAGTTGCAGGAGTTCAAATATTTCAATGGATCCGCAGCTCAATTCGGATCCGAATTTCCCGTATACAGAGATGATCGGAACTCAACGCAGCTCCCGGACTGCTCTCCATTGGTCTGTCCGGTCTGTCACTTGTTGTTTGTCGTGTTAAGTGGAAAGGAGGCTTGAGTGTTAACAAGTGGTGAGTCCCGTGAAGGAGCTCCAGGTGTTTTGTGTTTACCTTATGATTAAAGTTGTTGCACGTCCGCCGGTTCCTGCCTCTGAATGAGTGAGTTTGAGCTACTTGTACATTAATGTGGCCTTTAGAAGAAAACACCCACAAAGAAACTCGACACAGAGGAACATATAAACCTGTTGCCAGCTAGTGTTTCTGAAGTGTTATTGCAGAGCAACACAAACAGCACACAGAAGTATAAATGCACGACAACATGGAAGGAGTGCGCCGTGGGTCACGCCGATCACTCCACGCAAAAGTATAAACCAGCCTTAAGATGCACACACACACACACACACACACACTTACACAACTGAACAAGAAGGTTGGGAAAGATCTGTCATAATCAGGCAATATTCTCCATGGTTGAAGTGTAGATGAGAAGAGCAGAGGAGTGTGTAGACTGAGCTGAAGCTGCTGCTGGTGTTGTGAAGAGCGCTGGAGTCACTGCTGTTTAATCACACAGAATGTCTCTGCTTCAGCTTTAGCTGTAAAACATCAACATTAGCTCTGATAAATCACACTGGACAACATGACAATCACAGTAGAACTAGTCAACACACAAGACAACTCCAGTATTGCCCACTATAAAGCACAGAAGTGATCAACACACAGATCAGACCTGCTGTAGAAGATCCTGCTGGGTTTGGACTTTGTGGATCTTCACAGTTTGTGTGGTGAACTGGACTCACTGCTGGAGCTCTGATACCTTTAGCTGTAAAGGATGAAGGTTCAGAATTACACTGTAGAACACCATAGACGAACTAGTCAACACACAAGAACACTTGAGTATTTTTTCTAGTATATTTTAGCATTTGATTCACTGATGTGTCTCTGACCTGAATAGTGGACAGTAAACGTGTCTGAGGTCTTCAGTTGATTTCTCTGATAGACTCCACATCTCCACTGTTTATCTTCATCTTCACTGATGAGTGTTGTAGACAGACTGATGATACAGCCTGTAGAAGAGATCTGATATCTGGAGTCTGTGTTCAGATCAACACCAGCCTCATCCACCCAGGACAGATGAAGATCCTCAGATCTGACTAAACGGTTACAGACGTCTGCAGTATATGAGAACAGCTGACAGTAGACTGTCAGAAAGAGTCCCGGTGAAGGTGATGATGATAGTGGTGGAAAGACTGAAACTGAACAGAAGACACAAATCACTAATCATGAGCTGAAACACAGAATCCAGCCCTGATTAAACTGAACACATGAGCAGGAAATTACCAGCAACAACATGCAGATACACAACTGAATCAGGTCTTTGTTTCTGGTCTCCTCTCCACTGTGTGCAGATGTAAAGTCCAGCATCTTCTGTTGTGACTCTACTGATGTTCAGAGAGCAGTCAGAGCCCAGATTCAGTCTCTCTGGGTTTCTCTGCTTTACCCCTAAACTAATCAGCTCAACTGCTGGTGACCGTTTGTAACTGTTAAAGACCCAGTCAGTTCCTGGTCTGCAGTGCTGATCAGTGTTTCTACAGGGCAGATGAACAGTTTCTCCACAACTGCTGAACACATGAGTGTCTCCTGCTACAAACACACCTGAAACACACAACATCAATGTCATTGTTGTAATTTTTTGTGAATCCAGTCTTGTAGATGATGAACAGCAGTGTTTACCTGTGCTGAGTGTCCAGAAGATGAGCAGCAGAAACAGAGGACTCCTATCAGCCATTCTGTGTGTCTGACACTCGTCTTCTGCTTTTTATATATGTTGAGCTCTTGTTTAAACAGCAGCAGCTCTTCCTGTGTTTCTGCATGTTCCTCTTTAGTGATACGTCACAGTTTAATGTGCACTGAACACTGCTGTATTTGAGTGACATGCAGAAACGTTAATCATACTCAAGCTTGTGTTTTTCTAACAGAATCAGGAACGACATTACTCCCATCTAATGTGAATATTTAATCTTTATATTGAGTCTGCATTTATAGGTCGAGACACTAAAGCACACACAGATCCTACAGTAGAGCTGATCCTGCATCAGTTGTGCTGTTTTCAGAGCTGTGATCTCACTCTTCTGGTGTAGATCTGTTGTTGTGCTGACTGTGAGAACTCGCTTCTACAGGCTGTCTTTACAGTAAACCACAGCTCTAACACTTGTTTTGACACATTAGTTTTCCCAGAATAATATCTGAAGGCCTGATAATTCACTATCTGATCTGTATTAGTTATAAGACTGTCCATATTCCAGCAAGAATAAATTAATAACTTGCCTCCTAATTCTGCAATTAACCTGACAGAACATTTCCCCATAATGTTGTTCAACATGTCAGATTTCCTGACCTGAAAGGTTACTGTTGTAATCCTCATTACCTGAAGGAGGGAACGGAGACATTGTTCCAGCGCCACAGTTGCTGAATCACCAGCTGAATGCTAGTGTCTGACAGAGGCTCCTCCAGGTGCTGCTCATATCCTCAGCTGATTATTAAGCAGTCGCACCTGTGAAGAAGCTTCTATGCAAGTTCATGGGTATTCATTGGCCTATTTTCTTAAGCTGCGCTCACACTGCACTATTCTCCCCATAGACTTTCATTCATACACACGCGAATGTGTCAGACCAGAAAAGCAAGCTTATGCTGTAAGTTTCGCAGTTTGATGTGTTTCAGATTATAAGCTTGGTGAACTTTGACCTGTGAAATCGCATGATGTGACTGCATAAAACCAATTGAAGATCAATACATGACCTCTCTGCACAGAAATTTAAAATATGGAGCAATCGTTCGCTTTTTAAAATGTGTAATCATCTCGTTTAATCCCGCCCCTTTTTGCAGAGTCATACGACAGAATTTTGCATGCTCAAGCTGAAGTGTGAGCGAGGCTATAAGCTGCGGTCTCACTAGACTTTTCTCCCCATTGACTTCCATTCATACACACGCGAATGTGTCAGACTGGAAACGCAAGCTCATGTGACAGGTTTCGCAGTTCGCTGTGGTGCAAAGTTCAAGCTTGGTGAACTCTGACCTGCGAAATTGCAACAAGTGACTGCGTAATGCTGTGTTCACACCAGATGCGGAACGTGCAGATAAATCGCGAGATTCCCATGTAAATAGACGCGTGAACATTTAAGTTTACTCGTTTCATTCACGCGTCAATCCCCGGTTCATTTGCGCATCAAATCTGCTTCATTTGCGTGTCAAATTCACTTCAGAACAGACGTGGATTCGTGTGATGGGCAGGGCTTCTGTTTGCCTGGTGACTAGCTTCGTTGCTAAATAGCGAACATGGATTTTATGAAGAAAATAACAGTGTTTATGTGCTTTATGAAGACTGAAAAACAGTGTGTTGATACGTTTAGGACCGTGTCTGAGTCCACAAGATCCTTTCAGATGTGCAGCAGCTCTGTGTGCTCATAAACTCCTCCCAAAACTAGACCTGGATGACGGAGGCTTTCAGCGGTGCTTCTGACTCGCGTTCCACGCGAAACGTGCATTAAGCGCGTCAAATGTGCGAAACGCTCAATTCATGTGTATCGCGCCATTTGCGCAAATCGTGTTATTCTCGCCACACCATTCGCGTGTATCGCTCTGCAGAATGTCTATTCGCGCATTTGCATTGACTTAACATATAAATCACTGTTACGCGTCTGGTGTGAACGCAGCATGAAAACAAAAAAAGATCAAAACAAGAGCTCTCTGACAGAAATCTTAAATATGGACCAATCACTTGCTTTTTAAACGTCTAATCATCTTGTTTAATCCCGCCCCTTTTCACAGCGCCATAAGACAGAATTTCACATGCTCAAACTCTAATGTGACCGCAGCATAATGATGTTCAACATAACGTCTCTGTTCCCTCCTTCAGGGATTGAGGGTTACGGCAGTAGCCAAGACATTTCAGGTGCCATTTTTACAGTCATGCACAGTATGAAGATTGATTACCCCATCATGATTCATCAGTCTTTACTCTTATTCTATATTAAAATAATCTTCATCTGCCAGCAACTGAACCCAGAACAGTTCAATTTAGATAGATGTATGCCTGCTTAAAAACACAAATTACCTGAATATAATGATCCATCAGTTTACCAAATACTACTTTGTTATATAATTTGTAATCAAATGCAATGGGTAGTGTGTAGGCAATGCTCCTCTTTAAAAACAGTAAGTTGTTCATGATAGTATGAAAATGGACTGAGCTATGAACTAGTTCTCAATTGAAATGAACTATGAATGTGAACTATTAATGTTTGATGAGAAGTATGAACGAGCACAACAGTGCAGAGAACAAACCTTTGACAAAACTTGACAGAAAATTAAATATATATATATATATATATAAACTCCCTAACGTTGCTTTACGCCTCTGACAGCAGATGAAGAGCACAGAGAAGAGGCGTTCACACACACTGCAGAAACTGTTGAGTTTAGACCTGTTGGTCGTGTTAGTTTGACCACACTGGTTTAACACACAGTCAGCAGTGGGTGTCAACTATAGACCAGTTTAGGCTGATGGTGTGAATCTTTCTGGCTCAGTTCCTCTTTCTATAAGTTGCAACACTTTGGTTAGCCTCACCACATACCTCACGTCACTTTAAGTTCAGTCATCTGGCCATATAGAGTCATGATCCTGCACTCGGCAGCTCACACACACACACTGCATTTTCACCTTCTGATCACGAGGACACTTACATCATTCATCTTTATATGTGCAGCACTTTTATAATGTAGACTGTGTCAAAGCAGCTCAACACAGATGAAGATCCAGTAAACTGAAGGCTTCAGTCGTCAATGATGTTCAGTTTAGAGGAAGAGAAGCGCTCTCACTCAGTACAATATATATAGCTGTAGATTTAATGTTGTGTATTATTTTCAGTTGTTTGAGACACAGTAATACACGGCTGGATATTTTCCTGAACAGATTCACCATTATTAATGCTCATAAATGCTCATAAAAGTCATTGAGCTGCAGGTATGCTGAGGTTTGCTGAAGGTGTAGTGAGTACATCTTTGTTTAACTATGACGGGTCACGTTCATTGACAAGTAACAATGAGTAATACATTCATCTGAAACAGTCCCTTAAATGTGACTTTGCATGTTCAGTTTCATGCTAGGTCAATCGAACCACACCAGGACATACTGTAGACCAGGGGTGTCCAAACTACGAGGCTTTTTATAAATGTTAATAGAATCTGGCCCGCTAAACAAAAATTAATGTAATTCAATAAATAACCACCGGGTGTCGCTATGACATGCCTTCAATTAGGCAGCAGTTCCTGTTATGAAGTAAAACGAACCGAAAAACTGAAGGAAACAAAATTCATAATCACGTTTTGGTGACACATGGCACAATCAAGAAAAAGGAAAATCTCACTGTTGAGATTGCAGGAAATTTCAGTCACGATGGGGCAAATAATATTTCTTCACAGAGGTCAGTGGAATATGTGTCTGTTTAATTTGCCAGCATTCAATTGCAGTAATGAAGGAATTTAATATTAAAAGACATTATAAAATAAAACATCAGGCCTTCAGCTCTTACACTGGTGCCGAACGAGATCAAAAAGTAAAACATTTAGCAGCTGCTCTATCAGCTCAACGACAGCAGTTTTTTCGTGCTAATAAAGTGCAAGAAAATTCTACTCTGGCTAGTTATCTGTAGGGCCAGACAGAATCTGCAGACGTTTATTGCTATTTCTGTGGAAAAATTTGGTAAAAATCTGCAGATTTCTGTGGAATTATTTTGGGAGTATCATAACTAAAACCTTAGAATATGAAATAAAAAATTATATCTTTTTAACTTTTATTTAATGCTTGAAATCCAATTAGATTCACTTTATTTGGTAAATAAAGCAAGTTTGTCATCTAGTAAAAGACAGAAATTATGACTGTACACACTGCATTGTACATAAATCAGATGAACATTTTCACATTAGTCAATAATATTACTGAAATTAATTAAAAAAAACTGAATAAATTTAGATTTACACACATTTACTCAAGTAAATAAACAGAATTAATGATGGGCAAAAAATCTGCAGAATTCTGCACGCGCAGATTCCATGTGGGCCTAGTTATGAGGTAGCTCAGCTAATCGCACAGCACAAGAAACCCTTCACTGAAGGACAATATATACAGGAGTGTCTGATGAGTGTTGCAACTGTAATTTGGCCAAAAAAGATTCAAGATTATATATATGTATATATATATATATGCGTGTGTTTGTGTGATGTATGTAATATTTGGCCCCGGCCCAAAAAGTTTGGAAACCCCTGCTGTAGACAGTCTAGTGCGGACACCCTAAAGGTCAGACATGATCCTATATGATGGTGGTGAAGGAGAGTCTTTGGATGTAGACCCACACTGTTTTATACTAGTATTCAGCAAATTAACCATCATGAAATGAGGAGCATATATAAAATATCATATTAATATTCATTTATTCAATATTCAATTCAGAATTACATTTAGTAAACACTTTTATCCAAAACAACTTACAATGGGGAGGTTCAGAGATTCAACAAGAAGAGGCGATACTCGAATAGAGTCCGGCTGCAGATTTGCACTTGCACTTTCAGGCTTGCACTCTCGGACAGGCGACCATGCTTCCTCTGCAAGTGCCGTCAATTACAATCGCCACCTTTGTCCTTCAGTATTTAACTTCAGGCTGTCCCTGAGGGGGAAAATCCTTGAGGTAAGGGACTTCATTTAGATTGTTGCAACAAACTTCATATCTGTCACCTTTACTCAAGTGCCTTTTTTCTAAGCATTTCACTGTGATTTCTAGAACATTCGGCTGCAGTTGCTAGAGTTATGTAAACAGATCGTAATGAACCACGAAGGCTTGCATTACAGCAGATCTGCAGTAATGTTACACATCATCTGTGCTGCTTTCTTTCCGAGAGTCAAGACGTTCCCTTATCCAGTCCATCTTGGCATTATGTTTAGAGGACCTATAACACTGGGCTGGCTGGGATCATGTAGAGACTTGTGAAGCTGCACTGAAACTGTTTTGTATGGATGCACTCCTGCGCAGACATGCTAACTTGTCAACACGTATTAGTTTATTTATTAAATAGTTTTATAACATTATTTATCTACAGTCCTGTGAGTCTCTTTACTGAAACATTTGTATTTGGGTGAGAATGCTTGCTGATAAGGACTCTTAATGCTTTAAGAGGACATGGTTACTAAGGACCCAGGGAAAATACTTAACGGCAGCCTTAAGTTGATCTTTTTTCTTTTACCCTCTTGCAAACCAACTTCTTCTAAGGGTACTCTTAGCCTTAAACTGAGGGATTTTTGGTTAAGGACTTAATGCAACCTAGCCCTCCCTGCTGAAAAATCCAGCTTAAACCAACCTAGGCTGGTTGGCTGGTTTTAGCTGGTCAACCAGCCTGGTTTAAGAGGGGTTCTGGCCACTTCCAGGTTGGTTTCCAGCTATTTCCAGCCTGTTCTTAGCTGGTAAGATTGGAAAATGACCAGCAAAAACCATCTAAAATTAGCTTGACCATCCTGGTTTAAGCTGGACATAGCTGGATTTGGCTGGGCTCTCAGCCTGGGTAGGCTGGTCAAGCTGGTTTTAGCTGGTCATCTCCCAGCCTGTCCAGTTAAAACCAGGCTGGAAATGGCCAAAATCCCTCTAAAACCAGGCTGATCAACTTTAAGCTGGACTATTCAGCACTCTCCTGCCACGTCACTTGCATCCACATCTGCATTCTTGTTTGCAATCGTCCTGGGACCTGCAGAATGAAGATTAGTTCCCTAAGTCAATCAAGAATCATTGCTGTAAGTCTATAATGTGTTTCTGTTAGTTGTAATGCTACAACTCCTTGAAATGTTTAAAATAAAACTACAATTAAAATGTGCTTTTAGCCTGGTGTTTTTTTTTTCATAACTGTGGAAGAATACGTTGAGTGTGTATTTAGAGCTGATAGTTTATATAATTAATAAGCGTTGCTGGTATAAATGTTTAAAGTAGCCTGCTTTGATAAATTTACATTAAAGCATTATAACCATATGATCAATACACAAACCGATCTGTCACGGTATACAACTACTTTTAGTTATTTGACAATGTCGGTTTCTTTTGCTTTATTTGTGTTGATTGTAAGTGCCATGACAGGTGCAGGTGTAGTTTGTAAATGATGTCACTTGCATAGGAAGCGTGGAGACCCAAGAGTGCAAGCCTGAAGATGCAAGTGCAACTCTGCAGCCAGTCCCGTCTTCAATACACACATATTAAAGTAAAAATAATCAGGCAAAAGAAACACAATCAGCACAGCAGACACTGGGATTATGCCAAGCTTTTAACATTCACATCAAACTAAATCAACTTATTCTCTGACACACAGTGATACTATGAATGATATAAAGAACAGTAAACAAAGCTAATATATATATATATATATATATATATATATATATATATATATATATATATATATATATATATATATATATATATATATATATAAAGCATGCATAATATCTCTGTAAGCTGCAAATTATTCTCTTTCCACTTCAGCTGCAGAGTTTATTTCCATGAGTTCTGATGTCTAGGCTGAATATCTGCAAATGAAAATAGGAAGAGTTACTGTAATGTATTTATATGCTGCTGCGATGACACACACATATATATATATATATATATATATATATATATATATATATATATATATATATATATATATATATATATATATATATATATATATATATATATATGAGTGTGATATCCATCTCTGTCCATCATAGAGTATACTGAAGAGTATTGAATAATCCTCCATTTGACATGATCATACTCACAGTAGAGTCATGGTCCTCTTCTTCTTATATCTGAAACAGATATAAAGAGATTACCAACATGTATGACCAAACATTCAAAGCACACTGACCTGATCTGAACTGCTCAGCTGAGTCACATGGAGAAATACTGCAGTCATTTATAATGTTCTGGACCATACCGTAGTAAAACACTTGATTTTTGATGATTCTGTTGTGGTGATTGTACAGTTGCTATGGTAACACAACAACTCCACTAAATTAAACAAATGACCCAATATTGTAGGGTATGCTCTACTACAAAACAGCACAGTTTACTGTAGTAAAAACTAAAGTACACTACAGTATTTAGTACAGTTATCAGTTTACTATAGTTTGATTTACAGTATGCTGGTACCTTTACTAGCAAAGAGATGTAGATACTCAAATACTAGAGTATGTATATAGTAGGCTGCAATACACTTCACTATAGCATCCCTAGTAGCAAAGAATTCTGGCCCAGATTTGGCATAAAGCTGGCACAGCAGGCATTCATCCGGCACTGGCATACAGCATGTGGGCCAAACTTGGCCCGGGTTTGGCAGAGGTGGCACCGTCTTTAAGGCGGCACACAAGATCTGGGCCAGATGAAAAACGTAGTATTTGGCCCAGAATTAAAATATTTGAAAGTGGGCCATGTGAGTTTGGCCAGTTTTGACCCACATTTAAAATACACTAAACTCATTTTTGAGTAAAGAAAAAAATCTACCAATCAGGTCACTTTGAGAAAAAGCGTGCCCATAGTGTGCCTAAAGCGCATCACTCCATGGGTTTATCAATTTCATTGCAATCGTGACACACCAACCTATCTGGCCCAGTTCAGACCCAGTTATGGGTTATTAACTTGGCTGAGACTTGGCCCACATATGGTCCATGTTTGGCCTTTGTCTGGAAGCCAGATTTGGTCCAGTCATTACCGTAATTCACTGCGGCATGTGGGCCAAGCAAAACCTGATTGTGTGGGCCAGAGCTGGGCCAGAGAAATTTTGCTATGTGGGATGGTTTATTAGAAATGTATAGTAAACACTAGATAGAAGCATAATTATTATATTGCAGCTCTAGAAAACAGATGTTTAGCTTTCAGAAATAAGTGAAATGTCCCGAGAGCGTTTCTGCTGAATATGAGGATCATCTCAAACTGTAGTCTTTAGTTTCAGGCCTTTGCTGACGTCACATTTCTCTGCTATAAGGAGAGTTTGTGTTGTGTAATATTAATAATGCTGAAACTCACCAGCTAATCTGTTGTGAATCAGCCAGACAATAAGAGCAGAAAACAGAAGAGCAAACACAGCGACGACAGCAACAATCACACTCACTGCTGAGAGAAAGAGGAGTTAAACACACACACACACACACACACACATTTACACTGTTACTGACATTTCAGCACACACACATGAGTTCATTTTCCCAGAGCAACATCAACACAATTACTGACAACAAAACAACTGTCAAGTATCTTGGGGTTTTGTTCACGAGTGAGGGAAGGATGGAGCGTGAGATTGGCAAGCGGATTGGTGCAGTGGCAGCAGTAATGTGGTAGATGTACCGGTCTGTTGTGGGGAAGAAGGAGCTGAGCTGAAAGCCAAAGCTCTTGAATTTCTGCTCAATCAACGTTCCTACTCTCACCTATAGTCAAGAGCTTTGGGTCATAACTGAAAGAATAAGATCAAGCGGCTGAAATGAGTTTCCTTCGAAGGGTGGCAGGGCGCACCCTTATAGACAGGGTGAGAAGCTCAGTCACCTGGGAGGAACTTGGAGTAGAAACGCTGCTTCTACCAAATCCAGAGGAGTCAGCTGACATGGCTTGGGCATCTGTTTCAAGGTGTTTCAAGCATGTCATGCCGAGAAAAGGCCTCAGGGAAGACCCAGGACACACTGAAGGGACTATGCCTTTTGGCTGGCCTGGGAATGCTTCAGGATCCCCCCCTGAGGAGCTGGAGGAAGTGTCTGGGGAAAGGGAATGATGGAGTTCTCTCTTAAGACTGCTAACCCCGAGACCCGGTCCCGGAAAAGCAGATAAAAATGACATGACAACAACTGACAAACATGATCAGAGCTCTGAGGATTTATGTTCAGAAACCTTCCTAGCAGGGTGCCGCTCAGGGGGCGGATAGTGGGTGGATCAGTTTGGATGATTCTAAGGGCCCACACGATTTTGGGGACCCTAGAGATACTATAAGGGGCCCATCAGATCCCAGTATTTACCTTTGTCCATCCGCGATACACCCCCAACCACCACAACACTAACCCAACAACCCACCCACCCTTAATCAATGCCGGCAGCTAGCTCTCTGCAACTCTCACATGGTCACCCACTGAAGCTAAGCAGGGCTGCGCCTGATTAGTACCTGGATGGGTGACCACATGGGAAAGCTAGGTTGCTGCCGGAAGTGGTGTTAGAGAGACCAGCAGGGGATGCCCAACCTGTGGTCTGTGTGGGTCAGAATGCCCCAGTATAGTGAAGGGGACTCTATACTGCTCAGTGAGCGCCGCCTTTCAGATGAGATGTTAAACAGAGGTCCTGACTCTCTGTGGTTGTTAAAAATCCCAGGATGTCCTTCAAAAAAAGAGTAGGGGTTAATCCTGGCCACATTTGCCCACTGGCCTCCGTCCATCATAGGCTCCTAACCATCCCCATATCTTAATTGGCTTCATCACTCTGTCTCCTCTCCTGTGGCGCAATATGTCTGCCATAGCATCATCCAGGTGGATGCTGCACACTGGTGGTGGATGAAAAGATTCTCTCCAATGTGTAAAGCGCTTTGAGTGTCCAGAAAAGAGCTATATAATTATTAGGAAATATAATTCTTAATATTTCATTCGAGATACACACCAAATCACCCCACAACACCCTCACAAATCCCCTCCCCTTTACTTTCATTCGATAGAACCCTGTCTGTGATAGGACTGTATTTAAAAACACAGAAAACACTGATGATGAACCTGCTGAATAAGATACTGAAGTGTTTGTGTTGTAAACTGGAGTCACTGCTGTAAAAGATGGAGGTTCCGGTGAATAACACTGTTGAACAACCTGGCTGAACTAGTTACTGAACTCTGTAAATCAGTGATGTGAGATGAACACTGCTCCACCTTTAGTTGTGTCTGCTGCTGGTTCAGTCTGTGGTGTCGGCTCTGCTTTAGCTGTGAGATCTGGAGCTGTAAGAGATGATGGAGATGATCATTCAGCTCAACCACACTCCACTAACTCACACTTTGACCATTTGGGAAAAAAAAGAGGAATAAAGGATGTTTGTCTTACCTGAATAGTGGACAGTAAACGTGTCTGAGGTCTTCAGTTCATTTCTCTGATAGATTCCACATCTCCACTGTTTATTATTATCTTCTCTTACAAGTGTTGTAGACAGCCTGGTGATACACTGTTCAGGGTAGGAGATCACGTCAAATCTGGAGTCTGTGTTCAGAATAACACCAGCCTGATCCAACCAGGACAGACGAAAATCCTTACATGTGGCCAAACTTTCACAGTGAAAATCAAAATATGAGAAGAGCTGACAGTAGAGCGTCAAAGAGAGACCCGGACTAATATCAGATGATGATTGAGAGACTGAAAGTGAACAGAAGACAAAATCACTAATCATGAGCTGAAACACAGAATTCAGCCTGATTAAACTGAACACATGAGGAGGAAATTACCAGCAACAACATGCAGATAAACATGTGCATCGGGTCCATATTGCTGGTCTTCACTCCACTGTTGGCAGGTGTAACGTCCAGCCATTTCTACTATGACTCTACTGAGGGTCAGAGAGCAGTCAGAGCCCAGATACATACTGACTTTGGTTGCCATTTCTTTTACCCCTAAAACAATAATCTTAGTTGTCTGTGAGTAAGTCTGTCTGAACGTGTACATCCATGTAGTTCCTGCTGGTCTGCATTGCTGAACAGTATTTCTACAGGGCAGATGAACAGTTTCTCCAGAACTGCTGAACACATGAGTGTCTCCTGCTCCAATCAGACCTAAAACACACAACATTTAGCTATAAATCAATAATGACAGGGTTCTCACACCTTTAACAAGGTCAAATGTAAGCATTTTTTAAGCTCATTCCAGATGCATTTTCGTCATTTCACAAGTGTGGCAAATTACATGCACAAATTCAACCCTTATCACATTATGGTAGATGCTGTTTATTATAATATAGTACAGTATTCCAAGGAAAGGTTTTGATGGCATGTTTGCCCTGAGCTCAACATGAATTGTTGTTATTTGCTTTCTTGAATATAATTCATTCACATCTTAAATGTGTCTTTAACCCTTGAGTATTGTTCATATTTACTTCTCTTTATGCTTGTGGCTGTAACTACACATTTTGGCTCTTCCCAACAGCGAAAACCAGCAACAATCAAGAATGCATGATTATGTGCTGTCATGGCTTTGCAAACCAAAAATGTGGTTATAATGGACGTCAATGTGGCAAAACGGCCACCAAGAGTGTGATGTTGAAAACTCTCAAAGCATTTTCCCAAACGTAATTCCATTTGCTGAAACAGAGAAAGTTGAGGCCAAATTTAGACTAATATTTGTTTTTGTTTTAAAAGGAGCAGGTAAAATTAAAAGACAGATCACGCTGCCGATACATGCTGAGACTCCAGTCTCCAATTTTTAGTAAGAATTTTTTTTTTGAAATGAAACGCCAAGTTAAAATTCAATAATTTTTCAGCTCCATATGACAATAAATTACAACACAAAACTTTCTAGAACAGAAAACATTAGAAGCGTCCAACCCAGGCTCATTCTGGAAACGTAGACCCGCGGACATTTCTGGAGACCCGAAATACGTCCCAGGAGGTATGTATTTGAGCAGTTTTTGTTTTTCGCGAATCCGCAAGCTGAAGAGGTTTGATAGAGTTAGCTGGGAGCCCAGATAGTAGAGAGTTGCGATAGTCCAGTCTGGAGAGAACAAGAGCTTGAACAAGGAGTTGAGATGCATGTTCAGATCACCTTCCACCTTCTTGGAAGTTTCTAGTATACCTACACATTTCAGTATAGAAGACCATAGGTCGAGGTGGACACCCATGACAAGGCTCGATTCTGGCACCTCTGCTGTTCAACCTTTATATGCTTCCCCTGAGCCAAACAATGAGAAAACTCCAAATCTCCTACCACAGCTCTGCTGATGACACTCTGATCTACCTAGCCTTACTGCCTAAAGACTACAGCCCCATTGACACCCTCTGCCAATGCATTGATGAAATGAACAGTTGGATGTGCCGAAACTGTCTTCAGTTAAACAAAGAGAAAACTGAAGTCCAACATTTTCTACATTTCACATGTGTTCATTTCCACAAAAATAACAACTATGATGACAACAATAGAACAAACATCAATAGATCCATACTTATTTGACTTTACCAAAGACTGTAGAATATACAAGACAGGTCACTCGTATAACCTGTGTTTAATTCGTCAGCCAGAGCGCATTGGCACATCTGAAGAAACACAATAAATGTCCAGCACCTATTAGTCAAACTTTATATTCTCTAATCTGAATGATACCCCGTGGGTTTGTTGGACCCTTAAACAGAGGTCTGTCAGAATTCTGAAAGAAATCATATGTGTGTGTGAGTGAGTGTGTATTGCAGCACATTTCACACAGCCACACAACATTCATATCATTTGTTAGACCTTCTCATACTGAAGAGCTTTGCTTCAAGATCCAGTGCTGTCGACCAAATAGTTTGCTAAATAAAAGTTTCATTTCACATATGAATTATTATTAAAGCTTCTTTTGCGAAATAGTCCTGTGTTTTCACCCAACCTCAGTAAACCCACTGCAGCATGACTCTCTATATTGATAATGATCACAATAAGCCTGATTTCTGGGAAGCTGCAGCAGAGTTATTATGAAATCTTTGCTGTGAGGATGTAACAGTTCTGAAGAAGCATGACACCTTTTAACAAGATCAAAGCAAAGATATAGGTCACACTATAAGTATGTGCCAAAACATTAGAATATCAAGGGGAAGTCCATTTATGTCAATACTGTTTCATTTTTATATTAGTTCACTACACATAAAGTGTTATATTTCCAGCCTTTACTGGTTTCAATTTGAATGATTATGGCTAAAAGATAAAACAAATCTAGTATTTCTTCAAAACTAGAATATCATGACAAAGTTCAGCATTGTCGACTCCCCGTGTCCGTGTCAGTATAGTCAGCTAATTAATGCAAAATACCTGCAAAAGTTTCCTCAGCCTCAACACTGTCTCAGTCTGGCTTGGTAGGTGTCATGATCACCAGCAGTCTAGTTGCTGCAGATCACTAAAAGACTACAAATCCACCATTTATGGACTAAAACACCCAGGCTGCGTCCGAAACTACTTACTTACATACTATATAGTACGCTGAAATCAGTATGCAAGCCGAGTAGTATGTCCGAAATCATAGAATACGAAAATAAGTACGCGAGAACTACCCAGATGACTTCTGGCAAGATTCTGTAGTGCGCATCCAATGCATGCTGCGCTATCCCATGATGCCCCGCGAACAAATTCATGAATGGGAGCAAAGCGACGCAACAGACGCAGGTATGTCACGTGACCATGACAAAATGGTGGATGTAGTACGTCTGAATTCTATTCATACTTTTCACATTCATACTGTATAGAACGTACTTCAGCTAGCTCTCTGCAACTCTCACATGGTTGCCCACTGAAGCTAAGCAGGGCTGCGCCTGGTCAGTACCTGGATGGGAGACCACATGGGAAAGCTAGGTTGCTGCCGGAAGTTGTGTTAAGGAGGCCAGCAGGGGGCGCTCAAACTGTGGTCTGTGTGGGTCCAAATGCCCCAGTATAGTGACGGGGACTCGATATTGCTCAGTGAGCGCCGTCTTTCGGATGAAACATTAAACCAAGGTCATTAAAAATCCCAGGATGTCCTTCGAAAAAGAGTAAGGGTTCCACCCCGGCATCCTGGCCAAATCTGCCCACTGGCCTCTGTCCATCATGGCCTCCTAACCCTCCCCATATCATGATTGTCTTCATCACTGTCTCCTCTCTGCCAGTCAGCTGGTGTGTGGTGTGCGGTCTGGTGCAAAATGGCTGCCATCATGTCATCCAGGTAGATGAGGAGATTCCCCCCCCATGTGTAAAGTGCTTTGAGTGCCCATAAAAGTGCTATATAAATGTTAGGAATTATTATTATTATTATTATTATTTTATAACAGCAGAGTAGTATGTTTAAATTCAAATGCAGTACCTACTGAGTAGTAGGCAGTTTTGGACGCAGCCCCAGTCATGCAACCGGTTCCTGATCTTGACTGATTGCAAACACACAGCTGCTGCAGCTCCAGTACTGATTACACACACCACACGGCTCACTTTGACACACTCATTGCTGATTCTTGTTATCTGTTTACTGACATTACGTTCATTTTCCTTGCCTCGTCTTCCATGTTTTGAACCTTTGCTTTGTTTTTTTGTTTGATCATTCCTGTGTGCTGCCTGCCCTCTGACCATTTGCCTGCTTCTTTGACTACGACTCTGGATTGCCCTCATGCATTTGTTTGCCCCTGTGTTGACCATTGCCTGCCTGCCCAGCTGAAAAATCCAGCTTAAACCAGCCTAGGCTGGTTTAAGCTGGATTTTTCAGCAGGGTGACCATTTTAATAAACCTGCATTTGGATCCACACCCTTGTTGTCAGCGTCACATTCCCTGGTTAGGAAGGCTTCAGAATCATGGGAAAGACCGCTGACTTAATGGTTGTGCAGAAGACCATCCTTGACCCCCTTCACAAGAAGGAACAGTTTCAATAGGCAATGGCAGAAGAAGCTGGATGCTCACAGAGCGCAGTATCTAAGTATATAGACGATACATTTACAAGTATATGAGTTTACTTTACAATTACAATGATGATGCAAGAGTAATGGTTGTACCAGTGGCATTCTATTTAATTCCTTTCATATGGAAATATGACTTTTTCAATAAAAAGATACCATATAAAAACTGCAGATTTTATATTACAAAAACAATTCACAGTAGGGCTAGTAATGTTGACTTCAACTGTATATAAAGGGATTTGATGTTTCTCTGACCTGAATGCTGGACAGTGGCTGAGGTCATCAGGTCATTTCCCTGATAGACTCCACATCTCCACTGTTTATCTTCATCTTCACTGATGAGTGTTGTAGACAGACTGATGATACAGCCTGTAGAAGAGATCTGATATCTGGAGTCTCTGTGCAGTTTAACACCAGCCTCATCCAACCAGGACAGATGAAGATCCTTATTTGTGACCAAATATTCACACCTAAACCCAGAATATGAGAAGAGCTGACAGGAGAGAGTCAGAGAGGGACCTGGACGAATATCAGATGAAGATGATGATGAAGACACTGAAACTGAACAGAAGACACAAATCACTGATCATGAGCTGAATAACAGAATTCAGCCCTGATTAAACTGAACACATGAGGAGGAAATTACCATCAAGAACATGCAGATACACATGTGGAACATCTACATATTTTGGGGCTTCATCCAGGCACATGTAATATCCAGCATCTTCTGTAGTGACTCTGCTGATGATCAGAGAGCAGTCAGAGCTCAGATTCAGTCTCTCATGTTTCTCTGTGCTTTCTACATTTACCCCTAATTTTGTCAGTGTGAATGTCGTTGTCCCTGTTTGGTATGTCCATGTAAGTCTTTTGCATTGCAGATCAACATTTATACAGCGCAGACGAGCAGTTTCTCCAGAACTGCTGAACACATGAATATCTTTTGCTCCAATTACACCTGAAACACACAACATTTAGCTATAAATCAATAATGACAGGGTTCTCACACCTTTAACAAAGTCAAATGTAAGCATTTTTCACAACCCAAGCTCATTCTGAAAATGTAGTCCCGCGGACGTTTCTGGAGACTGCGGAATACGTCCCGGGAGATACGTACTGCTGCATAAATTTTTTTTCAAGCGAACGCTGCGGGGCGGTGTGGCGCTGTTCCCCTTTCGCGCTCGCCGGCTGACCGCTTACCTCCTTGTGGAGGGCTTTCCTGCTGCAATCCGTTTGTCCACTCAGCTCACCGTGTAACGTCG